GACTAGAGCTATAATTTAAAATTTATAATTTATTATTTATAGTCTATAGGCTATAGGCCTTTTAATAAAGATTTTTTTTTTTTTTTTTAGCTAGTTAGTAGCTAAGCTCTAATAGTTATCTTTATAATTTATAGGAAGTTAAAAAATTACTCTCTTTCTTTTGCTATTTAGAAGATAATTTTTAGATTCTAATTTTAGTTATCTAATTTATATTTTTCCTTTAACTAAGTTCTAGTTTCTTTAGTACTAGAGTAGTCTAGAAGAAGGTACTATAGTATTTCCCTAGTATTAAAATATCTAAAGTAGTAGGCTAAATTATTTTCCAGAAGTCTTCTAAGATAAAATCTAAAGTATCTATATTCTATCTTTAGTTAAATTTTTATTAACTAAAGTTTTTTAGGCTAGCTTTCTTTAGAATTTCTCTATCTAGTAAAGTTTTCGAACTATTAGTAGTCTCTTTCTAATTAAAAATTTTTAATTTTTATTAAGCTCTAGTTCTAATTTTTTAGAGCTCTTTCTCTTATTCTTTTTTTTAGATTTACTAAAAAAGTATAATTAGGAATAGAGATAGAATTAAGGTTTACTTCCAGCTTTACTATATAATTTATTTTTTTATTTCTTAAAATATCTTAGTGGACTAGGACTTAGGTTATTTTAATAAAAAAATCTTTTTAAGATAATTTCTCTATAATTTTTTTAATAGAGAAAATATATTTTTTATTACTTATTAAAGCTAATCTTAAAGTCTTTAGATTGTTACTTAATTATCTATAAATATTTAAATCTCTTTCTCTAGAGGTATATAATTAAAGAGTAACTTCTATAAGCTTTTAGAAGTATTTTTAATAATCTTTAAGGCTTTTAAGAAAATTTTATTTATAATAAAGAGTTCTATATTAAAAACTTCTAGCTTACTATTTAGGTTCTAAGCCTAGTATTATAAGGAGTTTAGCTTAAAAATTCTAGCTTTTATAATACTTTTCTCCAATTTAAATTTATTAGAGTAGTATATAAAAAATTCCTAATTTTTTTCAATTTTTTTTAGAAGTTTAGTATACTCTAGTTTTACTATAAGTTTAGAGAATTAAGAAATTCTAAATTTTATTAGATTATTTAGATTATTTATTTATAGATTAAATTAATACCTACTAGAAGCTTCGATTTTTAAGTTATTTAGAAATAGTACTATTAGAGAGGTAATTCTAAAAAGTTAAGATATCTCTTTTTTAGTTTTCTTTTTTTTTAAATAATCTAAATCTAACTATTTATAGAATTTATTCTAGTCTAGATTTATCTTTAAATCCCTTTTTAGAGGAAAGCTTTTAGAGACTCTAGCTCTAATAAAGTAATTAGATTATCGAGATATAATCTTTAAGATATATATTCTATAAATTTTATTAAATCTAATCCTTATAGGGGGGATAAAAACCTCTATTTCTATAGTATAAGTAGAAGAAGTCTTAAAGGCTTCTAGAATTCTTCAAAGGGCCTTATTCTAAAAGATTCTATACTTATTTAAAAGGTTTTTTTAGTCCTTCTATTATATAGAAATATTATAGTCCGCTATAGAGGCTATATATACTATATATAGCTACTTAATTACTTAAAAAAATAAATCTCTCTCTATATTTAAGAATTAAATTATTTGATTTAGAGTTTTTTTAGCTAATTAGAGCCTTATCTCTATATAATTTTTAAAAGTAAGGTTATTATTAAAGTAAATATTCAATTATCTTACTACCTTTTTTAGTTTAATAGGTAGTATCTAATTTTCTAATTTAATGGATATTTTATTCTATTCTTTATCTATTTTTTTAAAAAAATAAATAAGTTTGATCTTATCTATATTTATCTAAATTAGAAGCTCTTCTTATTTTTAGAGGATAATTTTTAAAACTTATTCTGGTTTTTTAATATTCTCCTCCTTCGTTCTAGAGGAGGCTATTAGAGCTATATTATTAGTATAGCTAAAGAGTCTAATATTCTTTAGGTTCTAATAATTTTAAAATAGCTCTTTAATATAAATTATGAAAAGAATAGAAGAAATAGAAAAGCCTTATAAAATTTTTATCTTTATTTCTCTAAATCTTTAGATCTAGTTATTAAAGGCTAGTTAAACCGATCTCTTAGATATAAAAGAAATTATCTAGCTAATTAGTAGTTTTAGAAAATCTAGTCTCTAGTAGATACTTATTAACTAATTTAGAGAAATATAGTTAAATACTTCTTTAATATTAATAAATAGTACTAAAATAGTTAAATTTTATTTTTTTACTAGCTAAATATTATAAATTAGACTTATTATAGTATTTATAGCTAAGAACTACTTTCTTCCTCCTAGTTAATTAAAATATAGTAATTTCTAACTCTTAAAGGTAAGGTATTCTAGTCTAGTAGCTAGGACTTTCTCTAGAACCTTACTTAGATAACTTAGAAGGGAGATAACCCTATAGAATTTAGGAATTATATAGTTTCTATTAGGTTTAGGGAGAATAATTCCTATTACCTATTTTTATTTAAGGGGGTAATAGCCTCTATTAAAAAGAGCTTTATAGAGATTAAAAAGTCTTTCTTCTAGAATAGAGTAAATCTTTTAAATTATTAGAAAGGATATTTTATTTAGTCTAACTACCTTTTTAGAGGAGCTAGTATAAATAATCTATTTAACTTCTAATTTAGTTATACTAGGCTAATTCTACTCTTATTTTTAATAATTCTATAAATTTATATTTATAGATAGAGGTAGTTTTTTAAAAAAAACTTCTATAAATACTTTATATTTCTTACTAAAAGTAATAATTTTAATCTCCTCTCCATCCTTATTATAGATTAATATAGGGACTTTCTCTAGGTATCTCTTTTTAATATAGTTAAAGGCTGTAAAGATTTCTTTTCTTTTAGCCTCTTCTAGAAATTTATTCTAGTAGACTTATTTGATATTTTTAATCTCCTAAAAGTAATAATTTCTAGTTTCCTTAAAGATATTTAAGGGGATTAAGTCTTATTTATATTTAGAGTTATCCCTTTTTATATTCTTCCTAAGCTCTTTTAGTTTTAGTATCTACTAGGGTTTCAAGTATTTAGATATATATTTTTTAGAAATAGTAACCTCTAGTATAGTAGATATTAGATTTTCTAAGTAGTTAGTTTCAATATCTAAGTCTTTTAAGGAGTTCTTTTAGCTAAGGATTAAATTAAATTCTCTTTTTTAGAGATTTAATTCTAGTTTCTTTAAGACTTTACTCTAGTCTACCTTTTCTAGATTATATTAATTAGATAAAAAGGAGTTTTCTACTAGGCTAGTGGAGTCTATTTCTATATTAAAATAGATAACTTTATAGTCTAAACTTAATTCTAGAGAGTCTTTTATCCACTAATTATAAGATCTCTCCAATAGAGAGGAGGATAAATATATAAAATTTATAATAAATAAATTTTCTATAAATTTTAAGTACATAACTCGGTTTTCCTTATTTATTATTTTAAACTAGTATTTATCTAATTAATATATTAGTTTTTCTACCCTAAGAGGGGATAATCTCCTAAAACTTTATTTAGAGTAATATATATTTATATCTTCTAGGAGAATTAAGTTTTTTAAAGGAGTTATTTTTTATAGTTCTTTTTTTATAATTTTATCTTTTATTTCATCTTTTAGAGATAATTCGTTATAAATATTTATTAGTTAAATAATTTTTAATTCTTATTTAAAATTTATTATATTTATAATTAAAAGGTCTAGATTATTTATTATATTTAGTTTTAGATTTATTTAATATTTAGATTTTTTTCTTATAAAAATTACTACTTTAAGCCTAACTTCTCTAATTTAGGGAAGGAAATAGAAGTAGAAAAGGTAAGCTATAGTATATTAATAGTTTATACTTACTTAGGGCTTCTAAAAGAGAATTAGATCGATTTTATTATTAAAGGTTATATCTAAGTAAATATATATTAATATATCTTTTCTAGCTATATTATTTTAGAGAAATTTTTAGTTTTATTTCCACCATTATAGTTTTTCTTATAGAATTTTAACCCTAACTAGAATCTAGAGCTTCTACTTAGTAGAAATACTAGCTTCTTCTTTAGTTTCTACTTTAGTTAGTATTTTAGATAAATAAGGTTTTTTAAAGAAGGGGTGATTTTAACTATCTACTAAGTATTTATTTCTATAGTTTATATATTTTATAGTAATATATTTATATTATTTTCTTAGAGTATAGTAAATTAAATAATTATAAATTTTAATTTTATAATTTTCTATATAAATTTAATAATTAGGCTTAATAACTTTATATTTTATAGAGCTATAGCTATATTTTTAGTAGAAATAATATTAAATTTTAGTTTTAAAAATTTTCTATTTAGCTTTATATTCTTTTAACCTATAATATTTATCTACAATTAAAAGAAGCTTAAAAGATATTTTCTTTTTTAAATAAAGGAGAGCTAAGTTTTTAGGCTTATTATCTAGTTTTTTCTTTCTAAATAACTAAACTAGTTCCTTAGTTAAGAGCTCTTTTAAATCTAGATTAAAAATTTAAATCTCTTTTTTTAGAAGTTTAAGGCCCCCTTTTCCTTTAAAGGAGTCTAGAGAGATTCTATAAACTACTAGATAAGACTATTTTTTATTTTTTTAAAGTATAATTTTTCTCCTAAATTTAAGAGATAATATTTAATTATTTTTTTTTCTAAATCTATTAAGTTTATAGAAGAAATAAAGTTAAGAAGTTAGATATAGTAATTAGAGTAATATTATCCCTCTTAAAGGTTTTTCTAATTAATATAAGGATAGAGTTAGTAATTCTCTTTTTTTAAAAAAAATTATATTAATAATATTTCTTATTTTATATCCCACGACCTGCCTCCTGGCACTCCTCATGTACCTTTATCGGACTCGGAAGGGCTGTGTATTGGTCCCTACGCAAATCTTAGATGGTGGTTTAATGAGCGCGCAAGTCTTGACATAGACCGCGGCCCCCGTGAGTAGGAAGCCCATGGAAAAAAAAAATTGTTTGCTGATTCTCACAATTATAGATAACGATCCGTGCCTTGTCCTTCAAGCTCCAGCTGAAAAAGAATTGGCCTGGATTCGGACATATGGAAAGCCTCGTTTTATCTTTCAACGTGCCTACAGGGAAACATTAGGTTACAAAAAACAAGACCCAGAGGAACATTCCAATTCACTATTGGAATATCTCCAGCTTGCACCGTACCTTGCTCCTACATGCCCGAAGCTCAACCTTCCTATTCTCCGCCATCCCGATCTTCAGCCCAGCAACATCTTCATCTCTGAAGATTTTAAGATCACGGGTCTTATCGACTGGCAGCACTCTTTGGTTCTTCCCATGTTTCTTGCTGCTGGTATACCGCGATCATTTCAGAATTATGGTGATGAACAGTCCATGTACTTCATTCCACCGCAACTCCCCGAAGATCTTGGTACCATGGATGCAGATGAGCATGCTATAGCATGCGAGCAGTTCGGCCGCCGTCATGTGCACTTTTTTTATCTGGGGTTCACGCAGAAACTGAATGAGCCTCATTCAGAGGCCCTTGAACAGGAATTTAGTCTCCTAAGACGCCGGATATTTGACAATGCAGGCAGTCCGTGGGAAGGCCTCAACACCCCATTGCAAGTGGATATCGCACAGGTATCGCAGAATTGGTCAAAGATTGCTGCTGTCCGTTCAGATAGAAGCCTTCCTGCATGTCCTGTTGTAATTAGCGAGCAGGATGTGCAGAAGAGGGCAGCACTGGATGATTCACTGCGGGATGTGGACACTGAACTGGAACAGATCAATGGGTTCCTTGGTGTTGGGTCTGATGGATGGACATCAAATGAATTGTTTAAACAAGCGAAAGAGAGAGCACGATCGATCAAGGTGGAGGGGCTTGCTGCAGTCAATGATGACCCATGGCTGAGGCAGATGACCGAGCAGCATTGGCCCTTTGATGATTACAACGAAGACGAGTAAACGATTCAAGTAGATCGAACGGTTAATATAAATCAAAGTGAGGGTATTTCTATTGCTGAAAAGGTATCTTATAGTTTTTTCTTCTATTGTGTACTGTTTGTTTACAGGCGCCATGGACCCGCAAAATACTACTAAAAGCCGCAGCCTTTAAAAGCGCTCTATGGGTAAAAGCCAACGGAGAAGAAACGAGGGATATATATGGGAACTAGACAAAGCAAGTACGCAGAAAATCTTAGAATCAGTTGGTTTGGGGTTGGGGTAGTATTTAGATCTCCAGACTATAGTCTGCAACAAAATAGTCGTGTGAATTAATTCCTAGTTTTATAGAGAATTCTAGATAGTAAACTATATAATATATTTTTATAAATTATAGTTTAAAAGTATAAATTAATAATAATTTACTATACGCTAATTATTAATTAAATTTGTATTTAATTATGTATATACAAAACTATTTCTGCTTTTCAAGTGTAATCTGTAACGCCGGGATTTCAACATCCAGAGCTTTCCCATTGGTGTCCACCTCGAATATAAGCTGATCAAGCGACGCTCCTCCGTACTTCAAACTATCAACGCTCAGCCAAGTCACACAGGTAGGAGTCCCATAATCAGCGAACTCATTCTTGTCCTGGAAGACTGCTCTGAAGGCTTGTCTCGATATAGGGGTTCGCTTGGAGATAAGATGTGCTGGATAAAGCCGCATGCTCAATGCATCAACCTCCTCAACACCATTTAAGGCGGCCAATGTCGCCCGGAAGTCAGTGCCGTTGCTGATCCATGTATCAATAACTAGACCTGGCGAGCTATCCGCAGAAACAGTGATGGACGAGTTTGCTATATGTGAAGAGTAGAGTCCTCCAAAATTTGTGCTGGCTTGGATGGCCGCAATCTTGGTCAAGGCTGGCAACAAGTTGTCCCCGATAACACCAGTATGGGGATTGAGATCTGGGCTCGTGTTACTATCTGTAGCTAGGATAGTAAATCCAACGTTGAAGTCAGGAACAAGGCCAATATATGAGCTATACAAGCCGACGGTGCTAAGAGTCGTATACACGTCTATTATCGGTGTGTCGGGATAGTCTCCCGCACTATATATAACCCATGGATATCCTACTGAGTTTGCAGGGTTTGAAGTGTGGGCAACGGGTTTCAGCCAGCGGTTGGTTTGGGCGCGCGAGAGGAGGGTTGCCGCCAGAATAGATTTTCCAGCAACGGCGAGATCGGTAACAGTGGAGAGCATTGAAATTGCACTGCAAATCGAGATTTATTAAGGTATTAATAGCTAGTCATTCTCTGGATGGGGTGGGGGGTGGGGGGACTTACGCTGTCTCTGCTCCACCTTGCATCCATCCGTGACTGTTCGTATCCGCTGGGAGCACCCTTGGCGACGGGTCTTCAGTTAAGAGTAAACTTGTCTTTCCTAGTTTGAGAGGCTCAAGAATGCGTTGATTAAGTACAGACGCAAACGGCTTTCCAGCAATGGACTCCACGATATATCCTAAAATTCGAAATGCGTCGTTGGAATAGATAGGTGTAGTTCCCGAGAGGACTACGGGAGGTTGTTGAACAATATACTCGAAGAATTCTGTTCGGGTGAATATATCAAATAAAGACCACTCAGCTCAAGACGTGGAGTGGTTAACTCACCAGTTCTGTTGCATGAGGATTTCGAAATACAGGGAGGAGTATCAGGGGCCGGAAAAGGTGGTAGATCGGCGAAAGGGAATGCAGATTGTTTGCTCAAATCGGGCATCGAAGCTACAAAATTAGTCGTGATAATTCAAATAGTTGCTTCGCTGGGCTAAAACGTACAACCCCTGGAAATTCCGGCCATATGGCTTGCGAGCTGGCCAACCGTAATAGTCTCCCAGTCAACGTAGCTCACTGGATTTTTTTTTCCATTGCGGTAGCTCACAGCATCAGCTAGTTCAGGGATGTACTCTGTTACAGGGGTATTCCAGATGCGGTCTCCTGCTTCGATCAGAATAGTCCAAACGGTGAAAATCTCAGTCAAACCGCCGATGCGATAGATAGTATCTTTCCCCACAGGGTGAAATTTCAAGGGTGGCGCCGTGTAGTGGTAATCAAAGAAATAGGGCTGGTCGCTTGCGTTGCCTTCGTTAACGGAGAACAATGATAAACTGAAAGAAGTAGTGTTAGGAAAGATCTCTCCATGATCCCCGTTCCCTTCGAGAACTAGTTTATCGAACGCCTTCGTAAGATTCTTGAGAGCGGAGGTTAGGACTTCAGAGCCCGTATCCAAGGTGAACTCAGGGAATGCTGGCCCTAGAAGCGGGCATGGTGTGAACGAGAGGCCGGAGGAACTGCAGATTAAAATGCAAAGAAATAGGGTAAAAGGGCGAATCATCATGGTGGGTATTGGGTATTTAGACTGGCAATTATCATTTATTTATGCCGTTAAATTTCTTACTTATTCGCTCAATATATACACACAAGGTCGGGTCGGAGTTATAGAGCTCACTAAAACGATGTATATAACTAAGTTTAAAGTTAGCACTGGCACGCTAGGCTTCGGCTCGGCGTTAACTAGTTAACTGAACGTTCACAGCTGCGCTTCAGCCTCAAAATGACCGGGAAAAGCAACGGCGATCTGATCCATACAAAAAAGTATATAAAACGAGATTTTCATACCTCAAGAGACAGACGGGTTTGTTCTCCCCCACCCTAAAGTTCGTCCTTAGACTCTGTGCTCTATCGAACAGACAAGTCTTGAGGATGGGGTAATGATAGAGAATATCACACCCAATTATTCAGCATTTGATCTATAGTGTAAGCGAAATCATCCTCCTCTATCGAAGGATAGCCATTCGCCATAGTAGCAAATAGGTCAGAAGGCGAAAAATCGTGCATAACTCCCGAGGCATCAGCTGCTAACGGCTGATTTTCTAAACTGGGGGTGCCCTCTATTGTTCGCAGTTCTCCCGAGGCAGCATTGTTAATGATACCAGAGGAGCCTGTTTTCTCGAGTCTTGTATCCAGCCAAACTTGAAGTCGAGCAACACGATCGACATAATCTGTGAAAACGTCCTTATCTCCATTGAAATCGACCATATCCGTGGATAGTTCCGATACCCGCATTTTTAACTTTGTCAGAGTATTTGAGAGAGATTCCTTGTGTCGGCGGAAAACTGCCGGTTCAGCTGTAGGGGCGGTGCCTGCTAGCCTACAGGCGACAATCAAAGCAAATCCAATCTGAACCCATTCAGTGTTATTGAAGCTGGTTTCTGCCCGAGGTGGCAGCGATAGATAAAGTTCAAGTATAGATCGTGCCGCCAAGCCACCCGCGTATAACATATCATCCGATAGCGTAGTCGGTCTAGATCCAGATTGCTGTCTACGTTTGTCAAGTAGGCTCAACTGGTAGAGAGAAAGCTCAGCGGTGTGGAACTGCATAGTAGTAAGTGCTATAGAGAAGATGGGAAAGATTAGCCCGGGGAATGGCATGTCCTCGTGGTAGGGATTACCTACTTGTCTCGTCTGCTGAAGTAAACCCTGACCGGACAAGGAATGCCTCTAACTCAGATTTCAAGCTTGAGACATATAGCTCCATCGCCGACCCAGAGTTATTCAGCTCCATCCCGTGCTGAAAGGTTATACGATTAATTTTTTCCACAATATGCTGGAGCTGAACGATGTAGAGGATGGATTTATCATACGGGTACTCAGCCGCATCGTAAATAGATTTGCAGCAGTCTTCGAGGTAAGCAGTATATGGAAAGGTGAGCTGTTTTTGCAAAAGTCCGGAGATTCTATGACCAGGTGAGCTCGATTTCTCCTTTCATTCCATCCTGGGCTCTGGGTAAAGTGGGCCGAACTTACGTCGAGGATAGATAGTAGCAACCTGCGACAGCCCTCTGCTCATCACGGCCGAATGACGGTCTAGTAAAAGTATCATCGTCCGGGTCATAATTTGATGTGAATCGGATCCCTGATTTCCATACTTTCGTCTGCGGCGGTCTATCCAACCGCAGCTCGATAATGAGGCCAATAGCTAACTGGAGAAATTGGGTATAACGATACGGCCGCGTGTGATAATGGCACCTAGCAGTAACTGTTGGTATTTTTTTCACTTGAATTTGCACATTTTTCGAGCGGCAGTAGTTACCAAGCTAGGTAAACCAGCAATCCTTGCAGCAGATCGAAGGAAACTTCTCCGTTGATGATCATCCGCGAGGCAATAGCTGACCTGACTTCCTCTCCCAATTTCCGTTGTAGTGGCATGCTTGAGTAAGATGCCGCCGAGATGATAGAGAGGAAGAGGAACGGCCTGTCCCGGCGAAGTTGCTCTGCCATTGTGTGCTGGGGAACCACAACGAATGGGAAATGCTCGATCATTCTCACTTTAAACGTGGAGAGGAAGCATTCAGCATCTTCTATGGTTAGAAACCCGCGATCAACCACATCTTTGCTGATAATATCATCATCATCATCAGCTGAGAGACCAGCCGCGGCAGTATTGGCGGGTGGTACCAGTAGCGCATGACGAGCGCCCATGAGCTCATTCACCTTTGACTCGAGAGCATTGATTCTCCTTAACAAATAGGTAACTGTTAGCTCTGGTTACTCCCCGAAAGTAATAGAAGAAGCTTGTACTAACAGATCTTTCTGAAACCCATTGAAGCGTCGACGTGTCTCGCGGTTTACGCACTCTTTACCCAGGCGGGAGCATCTTATGAGGCTGGATAAGCGATGAAATACATCCGTATCTTCCGCACTGCTTCAGACTCACCGATTACATGGCCTATTGTCGGAATCCCGCACACAGCGTACCTTGGAATTGGCGCAGTTTTGGCAAGTCTTAGATAGCGGCATCTTCAAGAATGAACAGACTCAAAGCAGCGGAAGCATCCCAAAAAGGCTATATATACGTATATATAAACGTAAGAGTCAAGAGAGAGGATATATTAATCTAGAGTATTGTAAAATATATACATATAAAATAGGTAAATAAATAAAGAATTAAATAAGAAAAGATATATATATAGTAGATTATAATTAGTTAATAAATTAAATAAATTAATAATTAAAATTAAAATTTATTATATTTTATATTATATAAAAAAATAATAATTTTTATAATAAAAAAAGAAGTATATAATATATTAATATCCTAATATAACAAATTAACAATATATATAACTATAATAAATATTGTCTTCTATTTTCTAGATTCTGTTTCTCTATCTTGATTATTAAAATACAATAGAGTTCTTTATATAAATTTAAAAACGCATTAGAGTATTGATTATTTAGTATAGAAAAAAAGAGCAAATAAACCCATATAATTGCTAGCTTCTCCTCTATCTAGTTTAGCTACAATGAATAGTAATATAGACGTGCTTAGGTATACGTACTGACACAATACATTACTTGGTCTTCTGTTTAGGGTCGAGGCTATAGCCTATAGATGACTCGGGGATAATAGGAGTCTCTATGTCACCCGCGTTGATAGCGGACAAACCTCTAATTTCCTATTAGTTAAATGAAGTTGGGTTACCGAAAAATTGAACTAACCTGGAAGTGAAGCCTTGCCTAACCACCTGCTTGGCTTCTTCGAGGGAGTCAAACCCCGTTAGTTAGGCCGAGAAGTTCAATCCCAGGGCCTGCGGCCAAGGCGAGGCTAAAGGGGTTCTGAGGTATCTCTGCCTGCTGTGGGCGGTTCTGTCTAGGCGTGGAGGCGGATGGAGCCTGAGTTGAAGGGGGAGCAGCCGCCGCTTTAGGGCGAGAGGACAAATGGCATTGAGGGTGTGTAGACTGCCATATTGACGTCAAGGTTGATCGCGAGAGCCATGACTGCGGAATTTGGAGGAGTAAATGGGTGGCATCCTTGGCACCAAGGTATCTAGATCTTCTATGCTAGTCAGTTGTTATTCTCTTAGAAGGTAGATATAGATATAAAGAAGTCTAGGTATTTACCTGCTGTAGCGTCCGGGGGTGGAGTTGGCGAGAGAATGCATTCCTTGCTCCCTTCTCCGCCTATATCGATTCTGGACGTAACGGTATCCATATAGATATCTTCATTGTAGTGATCTACCCATCGCGAATCGGCGCTTCCGGCAGGAACGGCACCACGTCCTGACTCGCCGCCGCTGTGGCCATGCTTCAATTGATGGGAATTCTCCCTGTAGCTCCTCGACCCGTCCCGTAGGCTTGACAGTATTGATGGACATATAAGCGAAAGGGGTTGACGGAGCATAGGTAGACAGGAAACTATAATGCCGGTGTTGAGTTCGATGGTAGTCCATAGTGCGAGCGGTGCTATGCTCCCTATAATGCTCAGCTATTAGCAAAATTTGGCCAGCGAGGGGGAGGGGGTGTATGGTGTAGCTGACACAAGGGGTCCCTATTGTCAGATTTCCCTATTATATATGTTATTCGAACAATGCTAACGACACAGACACTATATCCTCGACATTAGTAAAAAATGATTGACCCCACGAGGATAACACAGGGCTGGCAACTTACAATCCTCCAAGGGAAAAGATGGATATCACAGCAAGCTTGTCCCTCGTTCTCATTGGGAGATCGATAGTCTGCTTTATCGGGAGGAAGTAGATCAAGAAGTCGGTAGCGACATTGAGACCCGAGTAGACGACTCTCCATTGCGCATTCTCAATACACTTGTGTGGAATGGAGCGGTCCCAATATGCGTTGATCGGCTTGCATTGCCATATGGATGGACAAGTGAATCCGATTGTCATTAACACCGTCAGTCCCATGAGGAAATAGCATGACCAACGGAACCAGTTCTGGACATAAAATATTCGAAGAAATAAGAGGAGGAAGGCGATCTTGATCAGGCCGAGGGCAGGCTTGTATAGAACCTGTAGGATGTACAGACACTGCGATCCAGGACGGCAACGTTAGCATTGTTTTTTCCTGCATGGGTTCATTCGCAATACAGGGCGAGTAGTGAGTGATATAATTACTTTCAACGCGATTATCCTGTCTTGCGGCGAGCAGTCCCGTGTGTGTGCGCCTAGTCCGTGGAAGACTCCTGTACACTGTTATGAGCATGCATGTATGTAGTTATGCCATGTGGATAGTCCGGATGCGCTAACTACCCACCGAGTACCATCACAGCAGTAAACGGAGCTGTGATTACCTGATGTTCAAGAAAGATTGTCAGCACTTTCATATCACTGTTTCACGACCTTCAGGCTGGTACATACGTATGCAGACAGTATCATATAGTCGTCGACGTGGATGCCGGCCCTGTAGTATCGACCGACCAGCCGCACAACCACCAAGAGCCCCGATATCACGACCAGGACGACACAGGGAACCCATAGATCCGCCCTGTCCATTCCAAGAACCACAGCGCCGGCAGCTGTGGCCGTATCGTTCGAGGGAGTCATCCTCTTGCACTATCAAGCAGCAGGACTCCGTACGGAGTAGACTCTTTCCTTCATCTCGGAGGAGGAATGGACGGGAAGAGGTCGAAAAGATCAGATAATGATACATCCCATCCATGGCATTATTATTATGACCAGAGATGCTCCGTGGCTTTCGTGCATTGGGATCTCGCCCTTTCACCTCCTCCCTCCCTCCCCTATTGCTCAGGCCCGTCGCCCTGCCGTGTCCCGTGTCTTCGCCAGCAAAAGAAAACGATTTGCATTGGATTTGGGTGGGGCGAACACAGTGACAGCAGGTTAATCCAGGTAGAATCGCTCATAGAACGTCTTGATGGGCTCGGTCCGTCTCATTCGAGCCATCGCGCTCGTGTAACTATTCGTGATCCCGCGTCGTCCTAGGCGTCCGAGTTGCGTGTTTTCAAGGTTAGTCAACTAACTAGTTAGTTAGTGAGTTATCGATCTCAGGTTTCGTTTCTTTTTGCCATCGAGACTGTCCTCCCCAAATACGGAGTACGGAGCACGGAGTACTTACACAAATGATAATATACGAGAAACGAACCGTCGGACTTGGAGACGGCTTAAATAATAGCTTGTCTATCGCCTTCGAGTTCGCGCCCGCCCCAGCTCTACAGGTCATCTTACTACTCGTTACCGAAGCTGAGCCATCCATCCAGCTGCTTCGCGAGATGCGCCACGGCGTCCGGGGCAAAAGCCAAACCTCGAAATTCGACTAATTGGACCATGATGAAATTCCAGGCCCTGGAACTTGGAGGCGCTGAACTGTTATGGAGACGGTACTGTCTTGTCCTCTGTGGTAGTTACTGTCGTAGCTATAGCAGACGCGATATCACGCCCGTGGGGATTGAAAGATGGCCGTGGAGTGGATGGAGCATGGCGGCTGGGCTGGAGGCGGGAGAGCGCTGGCCGCTAACTAACTCGTTAACTAGGTGGCATTTAGCCTAGCGGTCAGGCCCACCAGGGTTCGGGGCTCGCTGACTCCCGGCAGTGATCTATTATTATAATCACCCTTTTATCGCGGACAGGATTGCGAACATCTCCCTCGATCTATTGCGTTGAAGGATTACAGAGAACATGTGCATATGGCTTATTGCTCTCCGACAAATTAATCCATAAATCAAGTACGGAGTAGTAGTTAACTGTTTCTTGCTCTACGAATAAGAACCTCCAAAGCTTCGAGCATGGATGGCCTCACGATACGAATGTACAGAGCACCAAGAGGAGTTTACGTTGGAGACGCTGCTCAGGCGTATGCGACGCCAACATACCAGCTTCATCAGACGCCCGAGCTCGCTCAGAGTGAGAGATAGCCACGGGCATATGTGGTATTGTTCTGAATGCGACGCAGGCCTTAAGGATCAGCGAAGCTTCAGCTCCCACCGTGCAGATTTAACTAACTAGTTATTGGATTCTGTGGTCTCAAATCCCTAGTTATCGGTCGACCCGGCTGAACGCGATCGATGCCAACAGCATTTCCCTCGTGTGAGCCACGAACTAAGAGCCTCTCATAACAAGAGAGCCAAGAAGGCGAAGCCATTTCAGCAATTTTCCAGGACTTGTTGCAATATTCCCTCTTTTGACGAGTTCGATCCTATCTTTCCAAGCTCCGGAAGCTAATGATAATCTGTCTAACACGAAGACAAGATGACCAACTATTGATTCGGAGAAGGATGGGAAGTGCTAGAGGTTGAACTATCTTACGCAATTTCGTTTTTTTTGAGATACAACCGTGCACTGCTTTTGTATGAATCAAAAGGTGTTTCAGAGTAGAAGGCGTCACCTTACAGATGTTACAAGCGAGCTTCGTGAAATCCTTCAGGTCCTTTCGCCCAAAGTGTTTGGTTATCGGACTCTCTACTCGTTTCTCTCCTAGGTTTGTGATCGCTGTCAGGGGAAGAACAGAAGACGAAGGGAGATCAAACTGCTCGGCTCTCTGCAAACATTCTGGAAATGGTTTCAGCCCCCATATCTTTCTTCTCGGTAGTTATACTGTTTCACTTCCATGCATTTGAAGACTCCGATATCACTTCACCTGATGTCATGGACGAAATAGTTCAAGATTGAGAGAATACACGGCCGCCGATGAATAAAACCACAAGTATCTACTATCGAGAAAGCTATCCACTCAGTTCTCCGGTTCGGGTTATAATATAACACGGAAGTCGGAATATAAAAATTATTAGGTAGCCCTGCAAACACCAGACCATATACGGGCCGATGGCTATCCGAGCCATATATTCTAGTACTTCACAAAATGGTCTTGCCCTTCTCTTAGCCTCTGCTTCTTCTCTTTTATTGGAAATCTGCTAGAAACCACAATGTCTGTATCCCCAACGATCCATTACACCCCCGCGGGGTGGGTTGAATTATACTCTTATGTGGAATTCGTCGCATATTGACCCTTTTCCTTCCAGAAATTCTACTGTGCTGCCCCCTGGCACCTAATGGGGCCAATATCAGGATATAACCAAAGTCAATACCCACCTGACCGTGGCAGAAAGATTGTGGGTTGCATGGTATGCGTGGCTGCAGAATGATGCCCTGGCCACCTGCATCATGTCCTTCGCTATTCACGAGTTGTTCTACTTCGGCCGTTCTCTTCCGTGGATCCTCATCGATAGCTTGGGTTTCTTCAAGAGGTACAATATTCAAAGTGTAAGTTGCAAGCCTAACACCTGGCACCAGCCGAAATCAACCAAATTCTAGCCGCCATCGGAACTAACATTCTCCTTCAGAGCAAAGTACTTCATTACGCGAGTAGTGGGATTGCGCCAAGTTTGTACTTCTAAGCCACTTCACTGTCGAACTTCCTCAAATTTGGTATGTTCTTCCTGCCTTTGACTGAGTGGTATGACGTTTGCCTCTCGGGTCCGATTGAGTACCTAGGGGACTATCTCCTTGACACCGAATACACTCCGGATGCGCTAAAGCGTCGAAGAGGGAGAAAGGTGAAGGCAAAGAAGACACGTTAGCAGTGACGGTCCGCCTATTTTTTCAATTTGGGCGTTGGCTCTAGTATACGATTCGTGATTCTAGTGAGAACTGCCTCTTTGAATTTTTCTAAGAGAATGTCCATAGCTCGTTTATAAGAGAACAGAATTGGCCCTCAGTTACTCCTTGCTTCATTTTGGAGGAGCATAATCCATATTTCCAGAACGGCCAAATCCCAAACTAGATATCTGTCTTCAGACTCCGATCTATGTCCTTGGTGCTATTGCAAAAATATTCTGCTTTACCACTTGTACTGAGATTGCCACAATCAAGCGTCAAAGACAATAAAGTCAGTTATTCAATCTGTCTGGATGACAACTTCGGACGTTGAAGGCTTGCTCGCCATAGCTGTTACCTCGATCTCGAATAATCCGCATCTTGTCATTCTATACTCGTCCCTGGCTAGTGTTATGGCCGCTCCCACCATTCTATTCCGGGCGCTTTTCAGAGCAAATGATAAGCGAAAGGCCGTACTCTTGTAATTGGCCAGACAACCAACTTGCAGGTAATATACAATTGTCAGGGACGAGCGAAAACTGCTTATAGAAGAAGCACAACTTTTTACATTCAATGATTTAACCAACTTTCATATTTAGTTAGTTATTCAAGGTACGGGAAGACCCGAGAGTTAAATAACTAACTTCGTTAAGTAGCGCTAACTAGTTACTGGCCCGAATACAAATGTCTAGTGACGTCACTGTATTTCAAGAAGTCAGCATAGTTCATGAGGCGCTTCTTATTCCGTCTCAGCCTAAATACTCGCTGCTCACATCACTCTTGGTTACAATCTCCTTAACCCTATCAAGTGGCAGTGCCTCGACTTTTCGCCCTAGGTAGCCAGTCATAGTCTCTGCCATGCAAAGTGCATTGTATATTGCCTCCTCAGTCACATCTGCAGTCGCATCAAAGAGATTATCGATCGTTTTGTCGTCAATAACTTCGATGGCCAGTGGTGTCGGGCCCTTGCGTGGTCCGAGAACATCCATGTTCGGGATCGAATTCCCAGTCGAGAAAGCAAGGAAGATATCTCCAGAGGTATTATGGCCATTACCCCCAACTCGGGCCAGGCCAACTGTTGCACGTTTCGCAATGCGCTGCAGTTGTAATGGGTGCAAGGGTGCATCGGTGGCAAGCACCACAATGATACTCCCGTCCTTGCGGTCCTTCTCTCTCGCAAGGTCTTCGAGTGCAGCCTTTCTGGCTTCATCCTTCGCAGCGTCCGCAGCGAGTATCCGACCAATGGGTACTCCTCCAATACGCAAGTCCTTCATCTTACCGTAGTTCGTCTGCACGAGGGCTCCGATAGTGTATCCCTTGACACCCGGCTTCCCGTCTCCGCGAGGGACGACTCGACTGCTGCTCCCAGTCCCGGCCTTGAATCTATGGCATATCATACCAGTCCCGCCTCCTGTATTTCCTTCCTTGACTCTCTCTGCGCTTGCATTCTCCAGTCCGGCAACAACGTGTTCTGGCTTTACTGCAAACGAAATTCACTTATGCAAATACGCCTCGCACGTCTCGGCAACAATCGGGAGCGTCAGCCAGTCCACTTTCCCGTCCTCAGAACCCAGAGTTTTGATAGCATAATGGAAGATGCCCTGATAGGCTGCACCTATCTCGAGTGTCCCAGTCAAGACGATAGGCGAAATTAGCAGCCCAGTCTCATTGACCACATTGGCGCCTGTGAGCTCTCCAGCGCTGTTAAAACTGAACGGGCCAGCGTAACAGAATTCCTCAGACCAGTTGTCGCGAGGCAGGATGCATGTCACTCCGGTATTGATGGCTCCATCGTCGCCATGGACCTCTTGGGTGTTGACTTTGACACCTGGTACGTCTGTGAGAGTTGAGCGGGCCGGTAGAGAAGTCACCGAGATGAAGAGTTGGTAGAAGTTCTCGGATACGCATCCGCGGTGTCTGGGATGATTGTTCGGCCATTGTGATAAAATCCTGCTACAACGTACTTGTGTTGTGCAGATATTATAGAATACTGGGGAGACGTTGTGGGCTCTCAAATACCTAGGTATTATTAATATGGTTGCCTTGAGGCTGAATCCTGCCGAGAGAATAGGCATCCAAGTTTCAATGTTTAGTCGGGCTCTCGAGCGCGGGGGGATGGGATACCCATTATTCGTACTAGAACTGCCTAATGGATATCTGCATCCTTGAAATAATTTCTTGGGAGCGACTGCAATCTTGTTTTCAGCGTTCTAGAGATCTAGTAACAGAAACCACCTCGATATCTGATCATGCATCGGCTGTCAGATCCATACGGGAATAGCTTTTCTCAGGAAACGAAGAGGTACGGAGTATTCTAAAAGACTTATATTACTCTAAAATTAAAGATTCTGTCAATAAATTAGATATCATTGGAAATCCTTTAAATTACATAGTAGAGGTATTAACTTACTAAATAAGCTGATTTCAATAAATATTATATTGCGGATTTAGTAGGGGACTTATAGTTATAGAGAGAGCTATAGATAGTATATGGTTGGGGTGGACCCGCATAGCCTGGCTTTAAGATCTGCAAATTTAGCGTTTAGTAGGGCCCGCTCTCGAACCTTACCCGAGCCTCACTGACTTGTTTGACTTTCGGGGGAATAAAGACAAACCATTTTCTTCCCTTGACTGTAGGAGAGAGCCTCGAGGTAAACTATTAGCTTATGTCTATACATAGCTACGCGTGTACAGTTATTTTAGTGGCTCAAAACTTGAAAAAATGGATAGAAGGCTGTATAGTTATATATATATATGGAACCCTGGACTAGTTATTAAGGTTTGACTTTTTCTATAACTAGATATAAATCCAACGGCGTCATATCCATTCTGATAAGTAAACCTCTCTCGGAGCCTCACAACTAGATGATCGATAATTTCCCAAAAGTCCCAGGATATATGGAAAATGGGCGATATGCTAAAGGATGAGAACGAATTGACGGGAGAGCACGATATTCATGATCCGAACTCGACCCAAGCATATCTCCATCCATTACTGATTCCAGATCGGCATTATAGCCAATTAGCAGGAAGGGAGAGATCCTGCGACAGGTTAGCTGAGCTTTAGGGCATTCCATCCGGTAAAGAATTGAGTGTAGACTAACCGGACCAGCTCACGTAGTAATCAGAAACATAGCAATTATCGCTCGTTTTAGCCCAGAATCTATGATGTTTAGTTAGCTAAGAAGATACTTGACAGTGATTGAGAAAGTTATAGTCGACTTACGGATTACCGTTCACGGTTGTCGTGTCTTTCGCAGTAAGGCATCGCAAGGTAACACGGGTTCCCTTGGAATATTGTCTGACGGCTGTGCAGGAGGTACGAGGGCATGTTCGACATTTGAGTGCAGAGGCAGTGATGGTCCCAGTAACAGACCTTTTCTCAATAGTGCGCGGCTGCGTAGTAGGAGCCTCATCTCCACGAGTGACAACATACTTCCCGGGAACATCATCCACTGGAGCAGGAGCAGAAAGTGCCATAAGAGGCAAAAGGGCTGCAACGGCAAAAGCAGTGAGCTTCATATTGAGAAGAATTGCGAATTTGATTGAAATTAAAGCAATAGGAATTTGAATTGTTGTTCTGAGGATGGTTGACTGTCGAGTTTGATGGTTAAATATTGAGGTTGATGGGCGAGAGCGCCGACTTTATACCTCCCATCTGTCCATACTATGGAGTCAAGAGGAGGAGCCTGCTTGGATATCTGAGCTGAATTACAAGAATAGTAGTGCTTGTAAGCAGAGCCCTTGGCGGTAAGCACAGCCCTTGTCTTGTTGAATTGATTCGAGTTTGCTCATGAATTTTCTCTTGCTTTTGGCCAACTCGGCTATCAAATCACCAGAGAAAGGTGAGAGAACATCATCAGTTCGCTTAAAAATGCAACCCACATGGTATCACTGCTCTGTAAGTGATCTCAGCTTGATGCAGCAAAATGAGGCGGATGCAATTCTTGTCTATTCCACGATCAGAACGTCCGTGGGCAGGTCTCCAAACCTCGTCTCAGCGCTCAGCAGTTTTCATCGAAGGCCCGTACTCGCCTAAATATATTAGAAAGCATGGATTGTCGCATCTCCAGTCGCAACGCTAAGACAGTCCATGGGCGAAGGATTGAATATCAGATTTTTGGTACATAGAGAATTATCTTCGTCAGTTTCGCGTCCTATTCTTGACCCCGCGTCCCAGATAACTAGGCAGATCGACTGTTACCCTTTCTTCGTCTTCGTGGACCGCCATGTAACCGTAACTCCAATGAGTGAAGACTCTGTACCTTAACTAACCAGTTAGATGGAATCAACATATTAACTGCAGCTAAATTGAAGGTGATTTCACTAACCAGGCGAGCCTCACAATACTAGAGGCAACACAGTAGAGCCCCAGCTGACTCAAGAAAATACCTACTAACGCAGTCATCAGAAGCATACATGTGATGTCCGGGGTATATTTTTGTTATATACAAGGATTCGTTGGGCAGCCGCAGGAAAAAGTTATCTATCAAGCAGCGAGGTGGTTAGCTTATAGGACTTACTATTTCTGTCTTTCGCTCAGGATCCGTCAATGCTTTAGATTAACAGAATCCCTGCCTGCATCGCTAGTCATGAGAATGGAAGCCTTCTCTCGACAAGTTCTCTGGTATCATTGGGAGCGGGGGAGAGTAATTCTCTCGATATATATCACCCTAAATACGAGGATGTCAGACCAGGCGCAGCACCTGATACTCTGGGGCTTGTAGATTGATTAAATAAAGAACTCCGCGGAGGCGACGGTGTGCTCTGGATAGTTAGTTAGCTGATGCGTCGGTAACTAATGCTCCGATGAGATCCTGGTTCTAGCTTGGCTCCAACGCCCTAGCCAGTCAAGATGTAACGGATAGATATTATGTCCCTGGTATGTCTAATGGTCCCAACGAAAGATTTATCTTGCGATTCACTCGCGGCAGTTAATGGTACGCTGCGGCAGTCGCTCCAACCAGCGAGTGGGTTCCACGGTCACTCGTTAACTAGGCGTTTGTGTTAACTAATTAGTTAACTAGTTACAGGCTAAGACTTAACTAACATCCCGCGGCGTCATTTCACGACAAGATAATAGAATCATCTTCGGGATAGAAATATCTTTGAGCTAGTACACCTCCAAAGGGCCTATCCTTTCAGATGCACGGCTCACTTGCTCACCCTTTCTTGATCCCGGGTAACTAACCGCCCAGGTGGCCAGGTGGCCTAAGGTTTAACTCTGGAAGGTTACAACTTACGCCGGCCCTGGACCAGCAGACCCAGAGCGTCTTCCAAGCCTGTCTTTTCCTGCTTGTACGGAGTAGTACTCTGTATATAACCTTTGGGATACATACTAATTTCACAAGACATTTCAGGAGAAAGCTTCATTCTTTTTCATAATTATGTCGTCCTCGCTTCTCCGGCTTGGTCAAATTCTTCGAGGAAGTCTGGGGAAATACGCCATCACCAAGCAGATCCAGGAGACTGTATGGCTTGCAAAGTAAGGTCTTAAGCATGTTATAAAGCAGGACAGTTCATATACTCACTCTTGATAGAGATCAGACCGAGACAACTGTTGTTATCAAAGGAGTTCGCGCCCATCCTCGCGTGGAAAATGAACGAGATGTTCTGAAGCGCTTCCAGGACCGAACCCCCTTCTTACGGCGTTTAACTGATGAGATTCAAGATCCATCAGACCCTACGATTATCGTGCTGAAACACCTTGATGATCACTTACTCAACGCATCTATTGAAAAGACCTTGAACAGAAAAGAGGTGAAATACATATCAAACAGGGTCCTCAAGGCTTTGCAGACGCTTCATGAAGATGGATATGTGCATACAGGTTGATGAATCAATTATTCTACAATTAATTTGCAGCTATGCTAAGCTTATTAACATAGATGTCAAACTCGACAATATCTTCGTGAACTACAACAAGCATGCCTCCAATGATGTACGATTCTCAGACATCCGGCTCGGTGACCTCGGCGGTGCCTATCCTGCGGACTCGGAGTGGGCAAAAAAGGGGACACCAGTTGGTGCACCCATATGGAGTAGTCCGGAGGTGATCATGGAGACTCCTTGGAATACAGCAACAGACATATGGTCATTTGGGGCTATTGTAAGTACTTTGATACCCTTGGTTACAAACAAAACGCCCTTAATTAGGGCTAATCGACTGGGATATAGCTTATAAGCCTAATATATGGAGGAAATCTCAACCTTTTTCGCCCAAAAACTGTCCCATATGGCCATGAAGAGTACGGAATAGAAGTCCTCAAGCAGCAATTTCGATATTTTGGCCCATTTCCGGGGAAATATGAAGACATAGTGTCCCCTATCACTGTTAGAGCAATCCTATGGCTTATGCAAGAGATTCCACAGTCAGAAACAACCCCCTTCTGCCATACAACAGAAAAAGAGGTTTGCAAAAAGGACAAGCAGTTCATTGGTAAGATTATGATGATGGACTGGAGGGATAGGCCTACGGCTAAAGAGTTGCTTGAGGATGAATGGTTTAAAGATGATGACTGAAGACATACAACCTTCCAGCAGGTTGATAATACAACGTATAACCTGCCAATATTGTAGTCCACCAACTGGATGAACACTGTTCTAAGAATACCAACTACCAACTACTTACGCTCATTCTTAGACCTCCCTATAGATGACTTGTTGGTCAATCCATTCGCGCATTGCCATCTTTCAGCTACTTTTGTATGAATACCCCGAAATCTTACAGTATCTCCGCTTTTTCGTCCATTCTACGACAACATGCCAGCAAGGTGAATCGTCCAAACTTGCCCTCAAACCACTAATATCATAATACTGCATAGTTATTCATTGTCAAAGGTATAGGCAAAATTTGATTATAAACTCCTACCCCTGACAGCGGAAAGATGTCTCCATACAGAATAGTCGGCTACCTATCCCTGCGCCTCAACACTACGGTTATGAATTACTGCATGTACTAACGACATGCCCCTACACCACCTGCAGCTATCCTGGTACGAGCAGGATAACCGCCCAGGTACAATGGAAAATATACCCCTCACTCGTTCACACATGCAGCTTCTACTGAACCTTCTCCCTGACCCTGTGCTTTTACTGCGTGGAGGCCCTTCACAATGCCGGCCGACCGTGGTATTGTATTGACATCCAGGGGAGAAAACTCCGGCTTCATATATCTATCAACTATATTGAGGACAGTAACTTTACTTCCTCGAAAGACGATAAAAGAGGTTCTTCGTCCGTGACTCAAAGAAGAATGCTTGCCGAATGGGAAGCTCAAATCGATACCGAACAACACACTTCAGGGCAGCCGTCAGCGTGGCGGGATATATATAAGATACTGCGCCTCCCTGGGCCGTCTTGTCACCTAAGGCAATACTGCTGACAATATCCCCTTGGCAAGAAACACTACAAGCTCAGGACGTATCACCTGGGGGTTGGTTAGGTAGTTATGTGGAACAGAGCGGTATTATAAAAATACACGATGATACATACCCCTGACATAATCCGCGACCAGCCCTACGCAGAGGAGCAATAACGGCTCGAGAAGCAACAAAAACATAGCAGCCATCATACAGCGTACCCAATGTTGCAACATCAATGTCCTTCCATCCCAAACTCCGCCAGGTATAAACTAGCTTATATTCCAGAAGCGGAGATCCACCGCAACCTAGGGATGTTGAAACTACGGGAAGCAATATGGAAGTGGTTGAAGCGGCAAATATTAGAATACAATCTAAAGATAATTATAAATTCAGTATGGAAAAGTTAGCTGATTGTTCTATATGATACGAAAATATTAACTATAATTAGAAATTATTATTCCGAAAAGCTACTATCACCAAAATACATTATTCTCTTATCATTATTCACACCGGTCAACGCTAGAACTTGACTTGCGTAAATATATATAACGAACCGAAAGGGAGGACACAGAGTGACTAGAAGGCGAAAAAGCGAACTCCTTAGACTACTCATGGATCTAAGCATCGGGTTAGTTTTGATCGGCGAGTTCATTATCATCAGCATCTTCAGCACTCACCCCTACAAACGTCATCGTGCCCGCTACCCTCATTAATACAACCTCTATTGCAGTATCCAACGAAGAAAGGGTTATCACTACCACCGCATTGGAATAGTGCATTCCGATAATCGTCAACGGCGTTTGGGTTGGGAAATGGATCTTTATTGATTATATTGACGAGCTCAGTCTGGCTCCATCCTAGAAATACGGTTAGATCTCTAGCATTTCCAATCTTGATATAACTAGCTAACCATGGAGGGGGGAAAAGGTCGATTGAACTACCTACCTTTACCTTGGAGGGTAGACCCGCAGTACAAATACTCATCTCCGCATGATCTAGCTTCAGCGTGAGACAATAGGCCCAAAAGGGTGAAGAGTGCAACGTAGATGTAGTGCATTTCTTCGAAAATCAATTAGATTCGTGTAAAAGTCAGCGGGAGAATGCGATGCTTTGTGCTTGAGAATGTGTAATGTATTCAGGCCGATGTTCAAGGGGTTCTATACCATACCTTCTTATATATCCGATCACTTTCTTAGACCAGAGGTTGAAAAGTCCGATATATTCTTTCCCGCCCTTTTTTCACAAATTCGAAAGCTGACCGATGAATTGATAATCGCTCTTACCCCTCTCCTCTCCCCTCCCACCCTTTGCTTATCTTTTCTAGGAAGCTGGCCGAGGTGTGTGTCGAATGCCCAGTTATGGAAATAATAATCGATAGCAACTCGCAAGGTGGTTGACAACTCATGAAATATTTCATAGTCAACTAGAAACATTTCAAATACTGCTACCAGCATCTTTTTCTGGTTTCCTAAATGAGGATCATGCTGCGGAGAGTTGCTCCGCGGCTCTAACTGCTATGATATTGGCCCGGTGAGGCAGGGGTAACGTGTTAAATGTTCATGCAGTGTATCATGATGCATGTAGTGAGCTGCTGATGGGTTCACAGTTAAGGGTCAGCGGGCCGCCTCCGCAGCGGGGTATGACGATCAGCCAGGGTACTTATCGTGGCAGGGGGCGATCCAATGAATGGTTATAAAGTACGGGCAGAGGGTATCCTGCTGTCCGAGTCTGAGTTGAATCGAAGCAGCTCGCCTCAACTAGTTTGACACCATGAGTAGTACCAGCCAATTCACTGATGCCCAACTGCTGGGCCAGAGTGTTGTTTTGCTACCAAGGGGTATGTATTCACTTCACCGGAACCTGAATGATAGTCCTCTAATGCGGTCTAAAAGGAAGTGATGCATTCGACCTTGACGTAGTCCTCGATCAAAAGAGGAGAATCGTCACGCTCAGCGAGGACCAGAGCACCGTTACGTTCCCGGATGGCGATACCTATGCCATCCCTAAGAACACGAAATTAACAAATTCGGCCGGCGGGACCACAACTAATTCCATGAGGGTTGAGACCGGGACAGACCTGGCCAGCATGCTTGATACCAGTGCGAGCTTCAGCGCCAGTTATGCTGGTGTTTCAGCGTCCACCTCGTCGCAATATAGCTATTCTCACTCTCTAAGCACGGCGAAAGTTTATGGAGTCATGAGTGTTGATCACCGTTCGTTCTTCTTGGAGCTCGATTACGACGGATCTCCTGTCGTGGTAAACGAAAAGCTCCTTGCGGCGGTCGAAGAGCTTCCAGACTGGAAAGTTGACCAGACCACCTTTGATCAGTATATGAATTTCTTCAATGACTGGGGGACGCACGTCATGGAGTCCTGAGTATTTGGAGCACGGTACCAGCTCAAAGTCAACAACGAACTGACAAAGACGGAAACTAAAGAGAATTTCGAGCTTCACGTCAAGGCCGAATATAATGGAATAGCAGATGTCAGCGGGGACGTGAGCATCAAGCAGTCGAGCGATTATAAGGCGTATCGCCAAACACGCGAGAACCAGGTGTATGTTCGCGGCGGAACCGACGCTTCTCGAGTCGAGCTCAGCACCTCGCAGCCTGATAACAATCCCGAAGAGTACAGGAAGACCTTCAATGAATGGGCGCAGACACTGAACAATTCTAATACTGCCTCCCTAGTCAATATCAGAGTTGATAGTATTGGCAACTCCTTGCGCAAAAGCGGAAATCCGGACTACGAGCCAGCTGCAAGAAAGCTGATCGATGCTCTAGGATATATCTCAGCATTGCGAGTCATCCAAGGCCAGATATCGGTTGAATCATTTGGAACCACCGAGCAGCCCGAGTACACTTGCTCTCTTCACAATGTTCCTGGTATGCAGCTGAAATACATTAGTGCGGGTTTGGGCAATCTATCGCCTGTTAACCAAGAGCCAACCTCGTTGAAACTTCGACTTCAGGCCAACCCGACGCCGTCCTCGGAGCCAGATGTCATCGTACCGCAGTCGGGGACCTCTGCTTGGGCAAATGTCCAGGTCACGACGCCGCAGGAGGCGTCTGTGGTGCATCTCGAAAAGCCTACGAGCAAGGGATGGTACAGCTTGGTTCTCGATCTGCAGCCCGGAGGACCTAAAGTACAGTCAACCGTCGATGACAAGCAGACTACTAGAGACATCCCTGTCGACTCCCTGGCAATTTCCGGCACATATGGCACGTAAAGGCCACGATTTCCATGCTAAATTGATGTCTTTTTCTTTGTGAGGAATTTTCGGTAACTTTGAGATCAATAAATGGGCCTAACCTAGGTAACTAGTTAACCTAGTTAATCAAACTTGCAGTGGTTAGTTACAGGCAATTGATCATCACCCAACGTAGTTATGTAGTAGTTGGTTACCTGGTTGAAGATAAAACTTGGTGCATTAAAATAGATGCCCTCTATCGCTTCTATACTTCTGAACTTCTGGATCTAGAAATGCCAGCGGGCGTACCATAGCTTCATGATCCTTCGTCTCGTTCGATGTAGTTGAGCTGGCCCGGGTAGAGCGCCCGCGTAAAGACAGCCAGGCGGTCCCTGGGCCTGCTTCAGCTGCTGTCCCCGTCGTCATCTTTATCGCTGCTACTGCCGCCATCGCCACCAGAAAATGCCAGCTCCAGAGTAGGGGACCACGGCTCCCTCCTGGCCCAGTCGACCACCACTGGTGGTAGCATGACGGGCAGACGGTGGCCCTGCTCAACTATCTGACTGGCCAGATACTAGAATATTATACTGTATCGTACCTAATTTGGAAATGTACAGTATTGATTGGTGATGAAGTTGGGATGAAGCTTCTTGCTGCAGAGTCAGTCGTGATCGACAAATTGATCTCGTTCCGCGGAAGACGAGCGTGCCGTTAACAAGAAATCAATGCCAGGCTGGCGTTCTATTCCCAGACAGTGTGCAGAGCCTTATTGTCAGAAAGGAGGAGGATGACATTGAGCTCTATCAAATGTGCGAGGTCTGAATAGCCAAGCAAGGTGGAGATAAGATGACTAATACAAGGCTGCTCGCCCCCTGTGGCTCAGCGTTGTCCGTTCGGCTTCTCCACCGACCGGCATGGCTAACAAGTGGTTAATCAAACTTGACTCCAGCACGGTTTACCAAGATTGCCTTTCCAAGAACATAAACGTGGTTTAGCCTATGAAAACCACAAAGAGTATGAGCGGGTAGGCTCTCATCTTGCCCATAACTCCCTACTAGGATAGCGGTCCGATCCTCCGATCAACGTGATTGACAGGTTGCGCCGCCACGCTGCAGGGGCTAAACATTGTACTTCTACCCCTGACAGACGCGAAGGATCATGACTTTGAGCCGTGCCTATGCCATGCCACTGCTGGATATACCCAATATGGAAGTCATCTCGTGGAGATGGAGAACGGCCCCACAGATGAAGTGACCGATGCTCAAGGCGGAGCTGTGAGGCTGTTCACTGTCTTCCAATGACGGCAGGGAATGAAGCTGCTATAATGCGCAGTCAAGTTTATTGCTCAGGTACTGGATGATACAAATACGCCCCCATTTCGCGTTCTGGGGCATCCTCATTCTGATTTACGGGAGCCATCCACTCCTATTATATTGTAATACCACAATGAAGTTCTTCAGCTCGGGTTTTTCTTGCGCTCTAGCGGTGATCTATGCCACCGCAGTTACCGCAAGCCCGTATAGCAATATTTCCAGTGTCTCGGATTTCATAAATCTGCTGGATGTCAGCAACGCAACCGGGGCAAAGATTGCTGATACCCTACAAGATTTGGATACCAAGAAAATCCGATCCTTAAGCACTCAAGGAAAGAATTCTCTCGGATGTCAAGTGAGTCGTTTGGTATTCGGCCGCGATTTTCTGGACTCAAGATCGAGCAACTATGATAAGAGAGTAGAAGTCAACTGGTTCGTCATCTCTATGTTTAGCTAGGCGTTTGGATATGATTAACGCTGACAATGGTACTAGGTCTGCTGCATGCTGGCTGAGGCCACGGTGTATCATCCAACCCCGGTCTACAGAAGATGTAGCAAAGGCCATGAAGATTGTCACATTTTTGGCCACAAAGTTTTCTGTCCGCAGCGGCGGGAATAATCCAAATCCCCGCTATTCAAGCATCGACAACGAGGGTATTCTTATTGAGATGATTAACCTGAATGAGATTACACTGAGTGACGATGGTTCGGTGGCACACCTCGGCCCAGGAAACCTGTTTAGAAGCGTATACAGCAGACTGGCTGAAGCCGGCAGGACGGTTGTAGGTCCACGGGTTGGAGACGTCGCTGTCGGTGGATACTTCCTTGGAGGCGGCATCTCGTTCTTTTCTAGCATGTATGGAATTGGTGCAGACAATATTCTGAATTACGAGGTTCGTAAGACGGGAGATATCGACATTGTTTGGCCACTAACTAATGAGCATACCTAGGTTGTCCTTCCCGATGCAACCATTACCAATGCGAATGCCACACATAACAGAGAACTTTGGTGGGCGCTTAAGGGGAGTGGTACGAATTATGGTGAGTTTACCAGCTACTTGTGGCGTTCGAGGCGGCGGATAGTTAACGTGAAACTCAGGAATTGTCACCCGATACGACGTTAAAACTGTTCCCAACAGCAAAGTCTGGTTTGAAGCACCGCTCTATTCTCCTGAACAATCAAAACTGCTCCCTGAAGCTATAAGAAAATACGCCGCTGCTGCAGAAAATGACCCACACGCAGCAATCATAATGTACATTACGCCGCAATCCGGTCTCGTCGGGATGGTATATGGCAAACCAACCCCCCGTCCCGATGTATACAAGAGCTTCTACGACATTCCAGCAACACAGAATTATATAAACTCGACCACTGGAACATGGGCCGACATGTACAATGCATTTACCGGGGTGCCCCCCGCAGCAAAGAGGTACGCGAGGCTGATGTATTTTATATGTCGGTGATATGATCTGTTAATCTGCTGACGCTGCCTGATAGGAAAATGATTGCCACGATTGCCTGCAAGTGGGATGCCAAAGTCCTTGAGGAAAGCTTTGCGACATATTTAGACATCTCTGCGAGAGTTGCAGATGAGTTTGGTGCGGTGCTATCATACAGCTCACAGCCTATTACGACTGCTGCTGTGAAGTACGGGTCAGAGAACGGAGGAAACCCCATGGGCCTCGAGGAAATATCCCAGAACTGTAAGACATCCTCGCATATATGCATATCTTAAACCCCAAACATGACTTCTCTTTTCCTAACCGGGCCGTCTTGTCAGGGTTTGTTTCCACTATCGAATATGCAGATAGTGCGCACGACGAGGCAGCACTCAAAGCCATTCAAGCACTGGGTGAGAGCGTGAAGAGCGCGGCAGTGAGTAGGGGAGCCCACCTGTCTTTTCTCTTCATGAACGATGCCAACTATGAGCAAGACGTGCTCAGCAGCTATGGGCAGAACAACCTGGCACGCCTGCGAGCAATGAGCCGAAAGTATGATCCGTTGCAAGTTTTCCAGAGTCTGCAGAACGATGGTTTCTTGCTGTCCAAGACAAAAGTGTAGTTAGATTACTGTAAATAGTTTATTATGAGTTATGCCTTTTCAATGATATCCTGGATTCTGCAGCAACTCTCTATCAAGTCAGTTATTCAGGGGCTGTTTCAAGTCCAGCAAGGCTGCAGAAGTCAACCATATATCTATCTGTGAAAAGCACATGTTCATGGCTATCCAAGCCCAGGGATCGATAACTGCAAACCTCGTGCTGCCAGGGCTTCGGCTGAACTGGGCTTGCTCGTCGATCCTGAAGTTTATGCGTAGTGAAGGCTGGCCCGCATGGTCCCAGCCTCACGCGCATGGAGACAAACAGGGGTTTTACCATGTTAAGACCCGATTTCCTGCGTGAAATCGCGGTGATCGGGCATTGTTCAGGTGATGGAGGATTCGCCTGAAGAATGCGGCCCTACCCTGCAGTGGTGCTACACAGCAACTTGAAAAGCACGGTGTCGTCCAGCCAGCTCAGCTTCGTCCTTCATCCTCCCTCGACGGATCCAAGCTGCTCACTCGCACTGTCACACACCATGAGTATCGACCCGTCGCAAGCTGCCCCCCTCAACCCGGGAGACCTCGGTCGGGGGCCTGTTATCATGGGCGTGACTTGGGCACTGACAGGCGTTAGCTTGATTATCGTTAGTACTCGTGTCTATTTCCGTTGGAAACGGCCACGTACATTGGCCTGGGACGATGCATTTATCGTCGCGGCAATGGTGAGATGAATCTGCCTCTTCTTCTTCCTCGTCTTATTACCGGAAAGTAGAACCCCGGCTAATGGTAAAACAAGGCAATTCAAGTCGTCTTCCAGGGCTTCGTGAGCGAGGCCTACAGATGGGGACTCGGCAAGCGAGATGAGAACCTGGCCATTCCCGAATTGATCATGGTGATCAAATGGCTCTGGATCTCTACGACGCCCGCAATTGTCGTCTCGATCCTGGCGAGGATATCGGCCGCCTTAATGCTGATTCGCATTTTCGGGGGACGAGCCTGGTTTAAATGGTTCTTGATCTATTTTACCGCCTTGCAGACTGTTGCCGGTCTGGTCAACCTCATCGCCTGTTGGACTCAAGCCTCACCTATTCAGGCGGTATGGGACCCAAGGGTCACCGCAACACGCAAGATGTCGCCCCAGTTCCAAAATATCACTGCAAACGTATCACAGGGTAGGTTATTCTTCTTCTCTTTTCTTCTTTTTCTCTCCTAAATTATTCCATGCTCATAAGTAACTAACTTAAACGAATATTAGCCCTGTTTGCCCTCTCTGACTTGTCCTATGTCTTGCTTCCCACCATCTTTATCTGGAAGCTCAACATGCCGCTACGCCAAAAAGTCGGTCTGTGCATCACCATGAGCTTGTCGTTGATTAGTATGGTTGGGGCTATCCTGAAAGCTGTCACGTCGAACACTGTGGTGACGCAGTACGATAGCTCGATCGTGATTCTCTGGTCCGGTATAGAACAGGCTCTCGTCATCTTCATCAACTGCGTGCCTGCTTTGCACAAGGTGTTCCTGTCAGAGCTGCTCTGGGTCCGCAAATTGAGCTCGTCGATCGTCAAATTTGTCTCCCTGGACCGAAACGGCCGTGGGTCGAGCTCAGCTTACAGTCGGTCTAACCAGGGGGTGGACAGCCGCTCGGAGGCGGGGTCATGGACACGACGCAAGGCCTCTGCCCAGGAGGAAGGGCGGGATTCGTCTTCCACAAGCGATGTCACATATGCCGTACATATGCATGAACTTGACACGCACAAGACTCGCGGGGATTATGCGGTATAATATACATCAGTATTAATTATGACTCCTTGATGTTTTCCAAACCCCTTTGTCTCTAGCTACTTATGAATGTACTGTATATAGTATAAATAATGTTTGTCTTACGAGGTATCTATTGCTCTATAGAAGCTTTGATCACTTAGCAACGATATACGCCAGAAGCTATGTTGATTTTATACTACCTTAACTATAAAAGAGTTACTCACAGATGTTGACCCTTACTTTGCTGGCGATAGGCTATCCATCGGGTAGACGCCCATGAACCACCACGAGGTGCAACCCTCCAGCCTGCAATCCTCCTGCCACCCTGCAGCCATCCACGTCAAACCCCTGTTCTTTGTTGTTCCTTCGCTGATCCATGGCGCTTCGATAATAATCGAAGGATCTACGCTAACCTAAAGCGGCCTCAGCCTTGCATTAGCCTCGTCGCGCCAAGAACAAAAACGTGGGCCCTTGGGTCGGAGCTCGTTCCGTAAGTGGGTCCGCCAAGATGCGATGATCCGCACTGTCCCGCTAACTCTAACCGTAATACTAACCTCACGGCTTGCTTCTCTCCACCGCTTCCGCTGCTTCCGCGGCTTCGCTGCCCATAGCGTTTCTCTCTTATCTTCGTGGAGCTTCGCTTCGGCGTGGGCTTTCCAAAGCAGTTGATACAGCAGAAGTCGAGAGACTCAAGAGACCTAGAAACCAAGATGCTCTCGTATAGCACGCCCACGCTGGTGGCGGCCGTGGTGGTCGCGTTGCTGGTGCCTTTCCTGACTCGCGCAGTTCTGGTTCGCCGCAGGTTCTACAAGATGAGAGCTAACGGGATCGTAGGTGCTACTGCTTGCTATGCGCGAGGCTCTGCACCATTTGCTTAACCCTAGGCTAGACGAGACAACGGGCTGACATCTTCTTCCACAGCCCATCATCGAGCCATACTCGCCCTTCCTGGGCCATCTCCCGCTGATGAGGAGCTTGAGAAAAGGGCTGCCTCGCGACGCTCATGGCTCCTACACCTCGATGAAAATCATACAAAACTGGAAAACATACTTTCCCACCGCGAAGAAATGTCCTCCTTTGATCTATCTAGATGTCTGGCCCTTTATATCCCAGCCTATCATCATGGTTATTGCGCCCGAGCTCTGCGCGCAGCTCACCCAGGAGACGCCCCAGCCACGGCATCCCATGTTTGGATGGGCAATGACCCCAGTCACAGATGGTATTGACATTATATCTATGAACATGGCTGACCATAAGGTCTGGCGCTCCAGATTGAACCCAGGGTTTTCGTCTAGGAATGTCATTCAGAATATGCCTGCTATCCTTGAAGAAGTCTCCCTTTTTGCCCAGAGACTGAAGGACACAATTGATGGGGATAGCGGAGAATGGGGGCGCATGTTTACTCTCTATGACCGAGCAGTTGCGGTGACCTTTGATATCATCTCAATATTTACCCTGTAGCGCCCCCTCCTCGCACCCGTCTTCAAGGAGTCTGCTAGTTTGTTTGCTGACCGGACATATATTCACAGTGATCTTCACCTTAACGAACAGACAAGCGGGCCAGGGCCGCTACTTAAGGCTCTGAGGAATCTAATCACCCGAGTGAAGCTAAAGAATATCAAGAACCAGCTAGAACGATATACTCCAGGATTTAGGCGCGATGTATCGCAAAACGCGGCTACTATGAGAGATATCCTACTACCCCAGATACAGTCGCGGTTTAATGAATCCCCTAGTTCAAAGAATCAAAAAACTGTCATCGATCTAGCTATCAAAGATCTGAAAGAAAGCGGATATCAACCTACATCTAGATTAATGAACATCATCGTCGCCAATCTAAAGGCTTTCTTATTCGCCGGTCATGACACCACTGCTCAAACCCTGTTAGTTTTTCCTTAGGAAGCTTAGATAGAAGCTGCTTTACTTTGCTAACTCGCTTTATTTTGCTAACTTGCTATCTTAGTTGCTGGGTTTTCTACGAAATCAACAAATATCCCGACATCCTTGAAAAACTCCGCGCCGAACATAATCAGGTGCTAGGGTTGGATCCAAAACTAGTAACCGAGATATTGCAACAAACCCCCCACAAGATAAATCAGTTAGAATACACGGCTGCAGTTATCAAGGAAACACTACGCATCCACTCTCTAGCCAACACCTTTCGCCAGGCTAACCCTAGCTTCACCTTCTCACTTGATGGCATCCAGTATCCAACATATAACTGTATGATCCAGACAACTCCAACAATGACCCATATTCATCCTGATCTATGGCCTCGACCAATGGAATTTATACCTGATCGCTTCCTGGTCCCGGATGGTCACCCCCTGTACCCCATTAAGAATGCCTGGCGTCCGTTTGAGTTAGGGTCGACGAAATGTATCGGCCAAGAACTAGCCTTGCTAGAGCTGAAGCTCGCCTTGGTGTTTACAGTGCGCGAGTTGGATTTCGATTTCAATTATGATCTGTGGGAGGGAATGAAGACAGAGAAGACAACGGGTGCAGTGCCGGACACAGTCAATGGTGAACGCACATATAGATGCGGTGATGGCATCGGTTCAGTTAAGGATGACTTGCCTATGAGAGTAAGGCTAAGGTAGCAGGATTTTTTTTTTTTTTTTTTCTAGTAAGAGAAGAATTAATAAATGTCTCTAAATAACTAGCTACACGTTGGGCTTTATATATAAGGGGAATAGAAAACCATTCACTTCTTTCCGTTTACCGCCGGAACCTTCATTCGACTCGCAATATCACGCACCACATATATCTGGCCGTATAAATCAGTCACATCACAAAACATACGCCATACCTCCATCTTCCGCTCATGAAGCTTCCGCGCCATATGGCTAGTTGCTCGCTGCCCTTCCTCCTGAAGCCTTTTGAAAGCATCATCCAGACAACTGCGCTCGTACTCCGCCAGCCTGAACAGGGCCTTTTTCTTTTCCTCCATCGTGGCCGGGCCCGTCGATCCCGCTAACATCTGCAATTCCGGAAAGTTGACCGAGTTGACGTTTCCCTCTGCCTTGTCACGGGCTACGGACCCGTAATCGTTGTACATGCGACACATAGTAGACAGGTGCTTGCAGACGGATGCGGCCATGTACTTCTCTTCCGCAGTTCCAAAGCAATCTTTCCCCTGCCCGAGCGAAGCGCCCAACAGGCAGCTCACAAACTGAAAAGAATACGGGCATGAAGTATGTTCTGCTGAGGTGGTGCGCACCCAGTGGGAAAAACTGTCTGTGGCCGTGCTGTAAGCCCCTCCGCTAGAGGGGTGCTCGAGCTGGAATCTGGCGTTGTCTTCTATCTGCGTTACGTGGGCCAAGAGGAATTCCTTCAGGCGCCGACGCAGCCCGTTGCGGTCCCAGGCGCTGGCCGACTTGACTGACGGGTGGTTAAGGACGAATGTCGTGAACTTGGTCAGCGGCACAACTACCTCACGATTGTTCTGTGGTTTGCCATTGTTACCATTACTGTGCTCTTCGTCTTCTTCCGGGTATGGCCGTTTAACGCCCCGCGACAATTCACTGTTGGAACTCTTGCCGGCAAATAGGGTATCAATCACTCGACGGAGCTCGGGAGTACGGCCGGTATAATGAGGGCCTGCCACCGCTTCGAGAAATTCGTCGGCCTGGTAGTTCAAGAATGAAATGATCATCATATCATACAGGAATGAAGTAGAGGCGAATGCACGATTACGATTGTTACAAGCTGTCCAGGTAAAAGGGATGATTTCGAAATACTTGTCCTTTTCCATGTCCTTGCGGGGAAATACCTCTAACCTGCGTGCTTGGAGTAAAGGCTGGAAAAGCCTGGCCTCGGTCATCGAGGCGCGGATCTGCCATTCTGGAAGGGAGGTAAAAAGGGGTGTCTGCTGGAACAGCTCTATAAGTTTTGTTGTGTTTTCCGTTGAAATGTACCAGAGGCTGCCCCCAACAGATGAGGTGCTGGAGGACAACGAAGTAGCTGCTTTGATGGCTGCCAATTCATACGCTTCAGCCAGCATGGGAGAGGCGTAAGTGACCTTCTCGATCCAGATGAAATTTCCGACCTGGCTTCCACGGTTGGCTTGCAAGAAACTCACGCCGCGCCCGATTGCAGAGTCTAGGGAATCTCTAATATCGTCCAGGAAGCACAATGTCCTGGCCTCGGTTAGTATGAGGACTCCATATGCTGTCTGTTCGGTTGAGCCATTCCACGATCCGTCCTCATGCTGACTGAGCATTGCCCTCAGACAGGCCTGGAAGAGTGTGATGGCAGCCCTTGATGCTAGGTCTCGTCGAAGTAACTGCTCAGGAGAGCTGTCTCCCTGTTCTGCTAGAGCTAACAGTCTAACTAAAGACTTGACGAGCAAAACAGACGGATATAGAGGGCTCAGGCTCTGTAAAAACGGGAAGGAAGACATAATCTTAGTTATTTGGGCCTTTGGGCACTAGGTTTTCAAACGTACCCATTTATCCGCTATTGCCCCGTCAGTATTCCACCAGGAGTCGCATAAGAAGTTCACCACCTTTAGAATCTGTGGGGTATAGAGGGAAATATCAGGCTGATGGAGAATGGTAAGCAGGGCATTGCAGTTGGCGCTGAAGCTGGGGTTTCTTTCGCATTGGTAGGTCCGGAAGTGAGTGGCTGCCTCAAATGCCTTGATCATTGGTTCAGGCCGTACTGCACCGCCGAGTAGATTCAGGGCAATCATGCCTCTAGCTGTGTCATCCATATCAGACTGAAAATCGGGAGCTGTATGTTGGAATTAATTAGCCCCTACAAATGTAATTGATACCTGTGGAAAGATGGAGTGCGGGCTGCTGATAGCTACCGTAACCAATTGTCCCATCTCCGTTACTGAATGCACGGGTAAGTATCTCGTAAATCTGCTCCAGCTCTGGGCATCTCAGGTCTGAAGCGGAAAACCCGGCTTCGAGCAAGGTTGACAATATCTATCGTGGAAAGTTAGAGGAGAGATCTGATTATCTTCGAGTTGGGAGAATACTCACCCAGGTATATTCAAAGTAGGTCGAGGGAAAGGCGCTCGGTACTGCGCCACTCCCCTTCCCTGCCGCGGAATGGATGACATGGCGAAGATAGCTCTCGGCTTCGTCGTCCCAATTGGTCGAGTTCATCAGGTATGCGGCGGTGGAGGAGGGTGAGCCCATCATGGAGCCGACCACTTTATGATGGGCGACCCTGTCAAAATCGATTTCGCCAACGAATGCTTCGAGCGAGTGCAGCGGTGTCATCTTTACTGTGCCATACAAGGCCTCGGGTTTGAACCGGGCTAACTTAGCGGCATTAATCTTCACCAGCTCATCTCTGCCCTCGAAGCAAAAGCTGAATTTCGCATCTGCCTCCTCCAACAGCGTGAGGAGCTTTGGGACAATGATTTCGAACCCGACGTGCATCGTTTCTGATACACGCCATTCCTCGAGCTGCGAGCGCAGCAATATGGCTGCTCGGTCAATTCGTCTTTCGAGGTCGTCTGGGTGGATTTCCTCCCGGAGTTGCAGGGGTTCTACTGCATGCCTTTTGAGGGAAAGCAGTGCCGCTGCTGTATTCACGATGCAGTCAACCTGGGAAGTTGTTTCTCTCCGCCAGCCGCCATCGTCAGACTGGGTGCGCAGAAGGGAGCGGAAGCATTCAGGGAACAGCCAATGTTTCTGCTCTCCGACGGTCTTTGTGACCAGTGACACCCAGGCCGTGTCATAAGTAGTACAGCTCATTGACCCGTTGCCATACCTCGGATCGTGGTCCTTGAAGCTTCGTTTTATCAGGAGTCTTGCATTGGTTCCGAGGTCAGCGACCCCCGCGAGCTCTGCATGCTGTACGCCCATCTTTTCAATTAACTAATAAACAATGGATATGCGCTTGTCCAACCATGCAAACGAGGGTGCCGAACTCCTTTATGTCATCTATAAGTATGTAAATCCTTCCAATGAACCGGTAATTGAACCCTGTCAGGGAGCATGCCTGGCTCGATTTGTTAACTCTTCCTCTTATCAGCTTCTCCGCTCAGCTGAAAGGCCGGTGGATATGGGTCGGTCTTCGGCCCGCAGTAGTTAAGAGAGGGGCCACTTGGGTAGTTACAAATAAGATGTCCTACCCAAGGCTCACCTGAATCTCTCTCTCTCTCTCTCTCCAAGCCCATGGCACTGCCTAAGTCGATGATATCCCGCCATGTTTACTCAACGGCAAGGCGTTTCAGCTCTGGACGAAGCTACCCTAGCGTTTCTCGCAGCAGTAGTAGTCATTGGACTCTCCCTTGTGGTCCTCTCTGGGTATCATTTCCTTGCAGCCCCAAACACCAGATGGATCCCCAGAGCTGGCAAGGCTCCGGGGTGGTTTGGCCTAGCCAACGCCAAACGAGACTTCATTGAAAATGGGGCCAAAATTATTGATCAGGGATATCTCAAGGTGAGAATGACGAACGGGGGGGAGGCCTCGGTTGAGAACGCTCCTCATGCTCATAATTGATACAGTACAAGAAGGATTCTGCATTTCTCGTACAGACGGCAGACATGGAGCGGATCGTCCTTAGTCCGAAATACCTGCATGAGATCCGCACTGCGCCCGAGTCGGTCCTCAGCCTGAGAGAGGGGATGAGCCAGGTGGGTAGTTATCTGACAAGCGAGTTAGCCTTACATCCTTCGATCTGCAGCTAACGGGTTTCATCTATACAGAGGCACCTGGGCAAATTCACGACACTGGATGTGATCCTGACGAGCCACCTGCAAAGCAGTGTGTGTAAGACGCAGTTGACCCAGAATCTCCGTAAGTAATTATGGAGTAACTGGTTAACTGGCTGACTTGTAGTTTATTGACTAACCGGTTAACTTAACTGTCAGACGCCCTCATCACGCCGATGAATGAGGAGGCCCAGTTCTGGCTGGCGCAGCGGATACCGATCGACAAGCCCTCATCCGCAGTTCTGGGCCACAACACTCTCCTCGGCGTCGTTGCAGGAATCTCTTCGCGAGTCCTGGTTGGTCTGCCCATGGGCAGGGACCAGGACTGGCTCCGAACCGTTGTGGGCTACACGATAGATGTCATGCAAGCATCGGCAGGCCTGCGGCCGTATCCAACTCTGCTGCGCCCGCTCGTTGCGCCGGTAAGCGTTCCATGATGAAAGCAAGCAGAATGCTGCTAACTGTGTGTCTAACTAGTGGCTGGGATGCATCAAAAGACTCCAGCGACACTTGGACACGGCCCATCGCTGCTTCGGCGACGTCTTCGCCCAGAGACTGGCTGATCCATCCAGGACAGAGGGAGAGCAGAATGTGATCCAGTGGATGGCTGAGGCTGCCACCGGCGACGACAGAAACCCCGAAGTGCTCGTCAAGAAGCTGTTGTTCATCACGCTCGCTGCCGTGCATACGAGCACCATGGCTGCGACCCATGCGCTGTTCGACCTCTGCGTCATGCCAGAGTACATGCCCCTGTTGCGCAAGGAGCTGGACGAGGTCATTGCCAAACACGGCTGGACCCTGGCTGCGATCAATAACATGCCGGTGCTTGATAGCTTTCTCAAGGAGTCCCAGCGCATCAACCATCCCGGGCTGCGTAAGTACACCCTACACCCACTGATCTTTGTACATAACTAACATTCGTAACTGACGGGAAAAAAAGTCTCGTTTAACCGCAAGGTCCTGCAGCCTCTGCGCCTCTCAGACGGTACCGTGATTCCTGCAGGCAGTTTCATCTCGATGGCAACCAGCTCGATCGCCCGAGACCCGGAGCACTACCCAGAACCGGAGCGCTTCGACGGCCTGCGGTTCTACAACATGCGTAAGGCGTCCAATGGCGATTCCAGCAAGCGTCATCAGTTCGTGAGTACGGGGCCGGAGAACCTGGCCTTTGGCTTTGGCAAGTTTGCGTGTCCGGGGCGTTTCTTCGCCGCAGCTCAGATCAAGGTGATAATTGCCACCATCATCTTGAGGTACGACGTCTCCTTTCCCGATGGCCAGAAGACACGGCCGCGGAATACTTTTGTAGGAGAATCCATCGGCCCAGACCGCAGGCAAGTAATTGTGTTTCGGCGTCGAAGCGACGTTTAACACAACATCCTGTCCGTTGTCTGAATATAGTCAGTGTCAGTCCTAGATGCAAATATTACTTCTTAAGAGCCTCTGCTGGTGGTGTCTGATGCTGGAGGAGTGGCTCCCAGCCCCATACCTATCAATACCCAAGTATCTTAAACCGCCTCTTGGTCGAGCTGAGAGCCCAAGGAAAACATCCAGCTGCCATCCCTGCATCCTCGTAACTTATCCACTCTTCGGTCCGAGATGCAGATTCTCCTGTGGATTCATGGATGCATGAAAAAGGCCAGGGATGCTCCAGCGTCGGTGAGGGGCTCTCGACATGGGGGGTTCAGTCGATATACTCATGTTAGTTATATGGGCTCCCCTCCAGCGCCAGTAATACCATGAGCTTCAGTTGCTTTGCCGGTTTTTGACAGACTCAGAGAGATGGAGACCACCAACGTTAGCAGCGGGCTGCTTGGCCCGGTCTATACTGCTCTGCCAGAGATCGAGTGGAACGGCCGTCAGGGCTTCGCTCTCTTCATCGTCGCGATTTTATCTCTGCATCTCTTCAATGTCTTCAAGGAAAGCCTCTTTGGCGTCAAGGCGCCCATGGTCGGCTATAGATCTTTCTTCGAGCCCAAATGGCTTTTACGTCTGCGATTTGTGCGAGGCAGCATGTCTATCATCCGCGGCGGTTATAGCAAGGTAAGCTGCCCATCCTAATGGACAGTAAATAGTTGCTTACATCTCGCGTCACTAGTACAAAGACTCCATGTTCAAGATAAGCCGCAATGATGCAGACATCCTCGTTATCTCGAACAAGTACGTGGACGAGCTTCGGAATTTGCCAGAGGAAGAGCTCAGCGGCATCGAGGCACATATCAGGAACCTCCTGGGCAGCATTTCGACTACGCATGTCATGCTTGAGACCAACCTGCATACCCGCGTGCTCCAGACAAAGCTGACCCCAGCTCTGGGTCTGATATTTGACGACATGAAAGATGAGCTCAATTTTGCTCTGGAGACCGAGTTACCAGAATGTAAAGGTTGGTTGTTGTGACGTTTTTCCTACCTATTGCCCCCCTTTCATTGACATTGACCCGTAGATAAATGGGTTCCCATATCCATCAACCATCTTATGTTACGGCTCCTCGCTCGGGTTTCGGCTCGCATATTCGTCGGTAGGGCCAACTGTCGCAACGAGGAGTGGCTCTCAGCCAGCATCGACTATACAGAGAACATATTCATCACAGTCATGACTCTGCGAATGATGCCGCGCTATCTCCATCCATTTGTTGCCCCCCTTTTGCCCTGGTACTGGCGTATACGCTCCAATCTGGCCACCGCAAAACGCTTTATCGGTCCCATCATACGCGAGCGTAGGGAGGCCGAGGCCCGGCAAGGGAAGGACTACCAGAAGCATGAGGACCTCCTCCAGTGGATGATGGATGGGGCAAACGAAAAGGAAAGCAATCCGGATATGATAGCCCATATCGAACTTCTCCTTACGCTGGCCTCAATCCATACCTCTTCGATGGCCACGTCAAATGTGATGTACGATCTTTGTGCTCACCCAGAGTACTTTGAACCCCTTCGAGAGGAAATGCTCTCTGCACGGCGCGAAGACGGCGGATGGCGAAAGACTACTTTGACGAAGCTAAGAAAACTTGATAGCTTCCTTAAGGAGTCTCAACGAATGAATCCCCCAAGCCAATGTAAGTCCAAGGCAGTGTATAATTCTTGATATTTACCCTTTCTCAATATCCCTTTTTCTCTTTCCCTCTAGTGGCATTCAACCGCGTTGTCCGGTCGACCCTCAAACTATCAGATGGCACAGTCCTGCCTGCTGGTACACATTTCAACATAGCCTCTGACGCTATCATGAACGATCCCGCCAAACTCCCCGGTGGCGGCGACCCGGAAGTCTTCGATGGGTTCCGCTACGAGCGGCTCCGTAGCGATCCGGCCCATCCCGAAAATGCTAATCGGTTCCAGCTGGCCATGACAGACAGCAATAATCTACATTTCGGACACGGGAAGTATGCATGCCCGGGGCGGTTTTTCGCCAGCAATGAAATCAAGATGATCATCACTGAGCTGCTGTTGCGTTACGACTTTAAGTATCCGGAGGGACAGGAGAGGCCGCGCAGCCTGAGTGCGGATGAGAATTTGTATCCTGATCCGGATGCTAGGGTGTTGATACGGAGACGAGAAGAAGTGTAGGTGGTATTGGATGGATATACATGAATGATAAAATTGCATGGTGTTTCTAGAGATACCAAGGTCGTTATAGCATTGTTGCGTATAGTATAAAGGCTACCGACCTTAAAATTAATAGCTAACTAAATGTTAGACTCTATTTTAAAGCTATAAGTACTCCGTAGAAGCCTTTTATACTACTTAGTCTGTTCTGCTGCTAGCTGGTGTCACTGTGAATCCCACCATTCTTGTAAGTGGCATTTCTCAGACATTCGACTCGGCCTTAGATAACTAGTTAGTTAATTTTCAACACGCGGCCAGACTTTGGACGTATATAGCAACTTCTCTCTACTTTTATCAAGCCTGGCTGAAGAGCATACCCGTATGGCGGCTACTTCAATGCTTGGACAGGCCCTTAGGGGTAGACTCAGCCTTTATACAGTCACTAAACAAACTGCAAGACTGCATTTGGCTTGCAAGGTATATATATAACTACATGACCTCTGGATTCCGCCGGGAGTACTATGTTATTAATGACAATTGCAGAAACCAGAACGAGGAGACAGTAGTGGTGAAGAGTGTCGGCCACTTTGGAATCCACAACGAACAGGATATTTTTCTTCATTTCCAAGACAAAACAAATGTACTTCGTCCGCTGCTTGATGAGATCAAAGACTCCTCGGCACCTCATTCTATCATATTAAGATACCTGGACGATGACATTCTGCACGCTGCTGACTGGGCTACAATGCAGCTCATCAGCCTGCTATATGGGGAAGGGTTCCACATCTTTAGACCCGATGTCCCAGTAGACCATGATGATTACAGCGTCAAGATTCTCATGAAGCATCACCGGTGCTTCGGCCCATTCCCGGTATGATACGAAGAAATTGCAGACCAGGAGAGGCTTGCAGTTCTTGCGTGGATAGTGCAAAACAGCCCTAGGGAGACGTTGCGGCACTTCCATCTCACGACCACCAGAGAGATTTGCCCGGAAGACAAGGAGTTTGTGCTAAGGACGATGAAGCTCGATCCTAGAGATAGGCCGACTGCTCGTCAGCTCTTGGAAGATAAATGGGTTTGCCAATAGTTGAAACCTCGTTATATGTACAGATCTAATCAAGCTGGGCCCTGCTGGTGTGCAATATACTCGGGTCTAGTCCAAGCGTATGTATATCTGGGAGGCGTATTTAGAAAGCGACTAACTAATTGCTCGAATGTCTCTAACTAGTTATTGCTGAGGAAAGGTTCCAAACTTAAGACATGTGGCTGACAACTTGTTGCGACGAGCCGGCTATCACTAATATTACTCCTATCTTTCCACGTCCAACATAGCGAGAGACCGGATGAAACAGGGTGAATAGCAGCTTCAAACAAAATGAATTGGGATGTTCTATGCTTCAATGCGGCCGCTTTGATCGCTGGTGTCTTCGTGCTCGACTATGGTGCAGACAAGTTCATCGACCACACGGTCATTGTTGGGCAGCGCCTAGGGGTCTCCCAAACCGTCATCGCCCTCTTGACAGCCGGTGCCGAGTGGGAAGAGGTATATAATTCTATAATTGAATATCCATCTATCCATCTGTCCATTCCGGCTAACCCTTTGAATAGCTCGCCGTGGTGGTTGCAGCGGTCCTGCAGCACCGCAGCCCCCTGGCCCTGGGAAACGTCACGGGCTCTGCTATCTCCAACATCCTCGGTGCCTTTTCTCTGGGGCTTCTCTTTTACCCCCAGGGGCTGGAGTTTGACCGCAGTGCAAAGGTATACTCGGCCTTGCTGCTTGCCGTTACCACGCTCTTCACGGTGCTGGCATTCTTCAACCTACTCAACCGGCTTGTTGGCGGCATCCTGATTGCTATTTTCGGTCTCTACATCGCCTCTATCATCTACGCTATTTACAAGGGGGTAGCGTCGCCCCCAGAGCTGTCTGATAGTGATAGCGACGGGGAGTCGAGTGATGGCGATGACCATGGCCCTCTGTCTGAGACCGCGCCTCTCATAGAGAATAATGAACATGAACATGAACACGAGCATGCCCCATCATCAAATGATAAAGGGAGCAAAAGAAACAGAGGGCTTCCATACCACATATTCCATCTCATCATGGGGTTCCTCTCGCTATCTCTGTCCGGGTACATCCTCTCTCACAGCGCCGTCACCATCGCCGACTCCCTGCATCTCTCAGGAACGGTCTTTGGCCTGACCGTCGTCTCGTTTGCCACAACTCTGCCTGAGAAGCTGGTTGCAGTCCTCAGCGGTTCCCGCGGCCAGGCTGGCATCATGGCTGCGACAACGGCAGGGAGCAATATCTTTCTGCTGACGCTCTGCCTTGGTGTCGTTGCAGCAGCGGGATACCAGGCACAAGGGGTCGACAACTTTGTGCTCTTTGAGCTGCTGGCAGTGTGGGTGTCCTCTTTGGCATTCTGCGCCGTCGTCTCCTTGGGCCTGGGTAGGAATTCTGGGATCTTGCTTTTGGCCGCGTATATCGTGTTTCTGTGCCTGGAGTTTACCATATACCGGCGGTGATCATCACCTACAGCTTAACTTCTAACTACCAGAAGCGCTCGAGGGAAACAATCTCGTTCACCTTGATAGATAGTAGGTAGTCAATGTATGAAAGAACGAAGGAAAGTGCCTGTGTTTCTTCTGCCCCTCGAGCCGGATATGTCCAGGAAAGGTCTTGATTCTAGATTTTACCGTTAATACAGATAAAGATACTGTCTTCTATTACTATTATTATCACTTTATATATAACAACGAATCAAGGGCAGCAATAGGAAATACTTAGACCAGAGAGAGAACAGAAGATCCGGACGAGCCGGCAAGCGTCCAGGGGTTGCCCAACCTGCAAGCAAGCTGGAACCTGCATACTAGGCGCTGGAATAACTAGGAGAAGCGGGAGCGCCGGCAGCACAAGGAGGTTATATCAGGCCATATATATACATACATCATCAACTGGATCTGGGCCTGGGCTGCTTTTAACCAACTAGCGAGTTGCAAAAGAAAATACAGGCATCGGGATTTGAAGTTTATAGCAAGGTTGGTTACTTGAGCAGAAACGCCTCGCTCCTGATTCGACCAGAGATAGAGGGCGAGAGCTTCGCTTAAGAGTCGAACCAACTGGTTAACTGGAGTAGAGATGATATATCCGCGGGTGCAACTCCGCGGGAGACGGTTCAAGTGTAACAGGGGGCAATTTCCTCCTGGTGTAGCAGTATGTATGTATACTGGGTAGTTATATAATTAGGTATATATAGCCGTATATTTATGTATGGATGTTGAGTGTCCGCCCAGGTTATCTATCGGAGACGAAGCAAACACCAGTTGTTGTCTCTCTCATCCATTCACTGTTTTAGTTACCGATCAAGATGTTCATCTCCAGGTCTGTTATTACGAGCATTGGCTCCAGGGTCTCAGTTCGACTCACCACGACAGGACTCAGATCCCTGGCCACCGGTACTGTCAAACCAAACCATCTTCAATATCAACAGTATCAGCATCAGAATCATCTAACGTTTTGTCTTTTTGCTCTTTAGCTGTTCCAAAGTTCCCCTTCTCACGCCCTCGCGGAGCCGAGCCTCCAGCAGAATACGCCAGACTGCGCGCAACCGACCCGGTATCCAAGGTCGAGCTCTGGGACGGCAGCCAGGCATGGCTCGTGGTGAAGCACAAGGATATATGCAGTGTCCTGACAGACCAGAGGCTTTCCAAGCAGCGCAATCGTCCCGGGTTTCCCGAGCTCGACGCGGGTGGAAAGGAGGCAGCGAAGCGAAAGCCGACATTTGTCGACATGGATCCACCGGAGCATATGCAGCAGAGGTGAGAGAGATGCGGATGCAGTGCTAAAAGGGGTAGAACTGGAGCTGATTGAGGTTAACAGGAGCATGGTCGAACCCCTATTCACCCGCGAGCATATTGATGGCATGCGCCCGCATATCCAACAGACGGTCGATACCCTGATTGACGAGATGATCAAAGGGGGCGGGAAGCCTGCAGTAGACATTGTCGAGAAGCTCGCATTGCCAACTGCATCGTACGTGAGTGCTCACAGTGAGAGACGAAATAGTTAACATTAGGAGGAATCCTCTAATGAAACGAGCCCTTGGCTAGATCATCTATGGCATCCTCGGTGTCCCGTTCAAGGACCTCAAATATCTCACTCAACAGGCTGCTATCCGTAGCAATGGCAGCGCAACTGCGGCTTGCTGCATCCGCAGCTAACCAGTGAGCCTCTCCATCATGCGTTCGGGGCACTGCGGGTAACTTTGAGCATGCAGTAATTAAGGAGAAAGGGATTATTGGCAGAGTTTCTAACCACCGAACGAATGTATAGGGAACTCCTCGAGTATATTGGGGGCCTTGTGGACCAGAGAATCGTCGAGCCACGGAACGATCTCATCAGCAAACTGGTTGTAGAGCAGGTCAGCACTTCCCTAACTCCCTTTTTGAACGATGACTTTTAGTTATTAAGGCTTTACGTTCAGCTCAAGCCAGGACATCTGCAGAGAGACGATGTTATTCAGATGGCGTTCCTGATGCTTGTTGCCGGCAATGCAACGATGGTGAACATGATCAACCTGGTAAGCCAGCAGCTGCTCTCGACTTCCGCCGTGCAGCAACAACAGTCACTCAAACTCGTGTTTTGTATAGGGTATCGTAACACTCTTTGAAAACCCGTCCCAGCTTGCAGACCTCAAGAAGGATCTGTCCCTTGTACCGCAATTCGTCGAAGAGCTCTGCCGCTTCCACACAGCATCTGCCATGGCCACGCGCCGTGTTGCAAAGGTTGATATCGAACTCGGCGGCAAGGTAACTGACTACCTCTTAAACCACTGTCTCTCCCGCCTGCTCCTTGGATAGATCTTTCATTCTAACACACAGTCCAGACTATCAAAGCCGGCGAAGGGATCATCGCCGCTACACAGTCCGGAAACCGTGACGCCGACGTGTTCCCTGACCCAGATACCTTCAACATGCACCGCAAGCGTGGCGCAGAGTCGGCGTTTGGCTTTGGATACGGCGAGCATCGCTGCGTTGCCGAGTGGCTGGCTCGTGCTGAGCTTGAAATCGTCTTCAGTAAGTGCCATCAAATGATTCACTGGTTGACTAGATGCCCCTGATCTAAATAATTCGTTATAGCCACATTGTTTCGACGTCTTCCAGACCTCAAGCTTGCCGTCCCACTGGATGAGGTGAAGTATTCAGATCCATCGAAGGATGTTGGAATCACCGAACTCCCTATTACTTGGTAGGCAAATACCCGTAATGGCTGTTGCTGTTACTGTCAGAATTGTAGTTATAGAAGAACAAGTAGTTAGTTATATTAAAAGGATGAGCTCCACTCACTTATTTTATAGTTATTGATAGATTCATGTACATGAAAATATTCTATCCGTGTTTCGGTGTCCTCGGCTCAGCAACAAATTCAACACTGCTGGCAACGAACTGATATCTCTGCTCCCCGTCCATATCAGCCTGCATATATCTTGCCACCACCATTTTATCCAGCTCTTCCCCGGTAGTGGATGGATCTACCCCATACAAAGGGCCACACCTCACAATTCGGACAGGATCGTATCCCAGCATCAGCTCGTCACTCAGTACATGCCATCGGTTCCATACACCAAAGATGGAAGCCAAGAACGGAACTATAAGGATGAAGAGTGCGAGTTTGTTGTAGACGTATTTGTTCACTCTGGTCTCTATTGTCGTGGAGAGGTCGATTCTGTCGATTGATCTCCCGAACGCGAAGATATTGTTCATATCCCATGCACGTTCGATGCGCTGTGCGACTGTTGGCCCATCTGTGGTTTCTTTCCATCCAAGGAGCGCGACACCAATAGGGTATTTAACAATTTTCTCTCCGTTAGCACCATATGCGCCGCCGGAGAAGTTCCAGGGACTCGATTCCATCAGATCGCCACCATAGATACGGGGGAGGTAGCCTGCGCTGCGCGGCAGCTCGTCTTGATGAACGGCTTGGAAACTGGAGCGTATCACTTCGGGGGGGTTGGATCCAACCTGCGTTACGTTCACCCACCCATAACGGACGCGGCAGTCCACTGTGTAGATGGAGCGCTCCTCTTGCCCGGTATACCAGTTATAAACGTAAGCACCGAATATGGTGGTGAAGTCGCCATCTGTGTCGGTGGCGCGCTGGTTGGTGAACATGGCGGCTGTCTCAGGGTCGCTTGACTCCAGGTCGACGCAGACGTCTCGATCTCGGGAACTGCGTTTTGAGCTACAGAAAAGCTGCCTGCGTATGTTCTTGAAACTGCTGGGCTTGAGGCCTATTCGATCCGGGTTTGGAATCTTGTCAGACGTGCAGATCGCTTGGAATCCAGCCATACGGGCATTTGCCCTGCACAGGGGGGTATTGCAGACATGCGCAGCGGGAGCATTAAGCGAATGGAGGGAGGTAAGGAATGCAGCTTCACCCAGGAGATCGCGAGTCGTCCCCGAGGCATACCAGGTATTCACATCATCCAAGAAGCCGCTGAAGTCGTTGTAGCTCCTATTCCGAGGCTGGAAAGCCGTCTCGAAGGTCGAGTCGGGTGTCTGCGAAATGCCACTCACGAGGATGGGGTTCACAGCGGCGCCAGCTAGCAGCAGCACAGCGCTGAGACGGAGCGTCCACGATCCCCCGACAAAGAGGTAGCGGATGCGCGCTACGGCAGAGACAGACCACAGTGCGAGGTTGCGGCTCTCAGCAGCCGTGATTCGATCCGCAGCCGTCGAGGGCGTGAGGTGGTTCCAGAGCGATTCATCCACGCAGCGAGTGGCCAGCGCAATCGTGGCGCCTGTGAGGATCGCCGACAGAAGGGCGACGGCGACCTGTGGTGTGAATCTTGTGCGACTGGCCGGATTGTCCCCTACATAGAGGAGAGAATCGATGCGCAAGGCTTGAGGGCTTGTAAAGAGGACTATCAGGAGAATGTAGGCGAACAGAATCACCAGCGCGAGGGATATCGAGATCGCAACCTTGACGGGACGGCTGTACGCTGTGTAGAAGCGGGTAAAGGAGTCCATGGCGTCCGGCCAGTGCGAGCAGCACAGGATGATAGAAGATCGAGACCAAGCTGAGATATGGCCATGGTCGAAGCCGCTGTAGATAGTTATATACTGCATGCACCAGCGTCAAGCGAGCCCGATCACGAGTCGCGGAGAAAGACAGATATCCATCCAATTCCAATCTCAGGTTGCCGAGCCCAGGCGGCGTTCTCGCTAAGGTCAGGCCTATCACTAGCTAAGTCGTCTATAGATAGAAGCTGGCTGGTCTTCATTGTAGCCCTCGCAGCTCAGGCCTCTTGCTCCCAGGCAGTTGAAAGGGAGCGCAGTTGATATCAAAATTCCCCTCACTAACTATTTACTAAAGGACCTGTATCGTCTTAGTTGCGGATGCCTGACTCTCCAAGTCTAATAATATGGTAGTTATCATCACTCTGTGGATTTCGACTTATTTGTAGGTCAAACAGTCTGATAAATAGGGAGTAGATAGGGGTATCAGGACTGAAAAAGCAGTCAAAGTAGCGGAATTGGAAAATGGCCCTCTCAGGAACAGCAATTGTCTGTCTATCGTCAATCAACGACCTTGATAACTACCTTTCCAAGGCCGCCACGACCGCTGTAAACAATCTGGCACGCCTCCCGGACAGCCTGGAGATCCCTCAAGCTGGCGGTCGTGCCCACAACCGTCCTCAGCTTACCGGACTCAACGAGGTCCCTCAACTCCTCCAGATCCTTGCAGCTCGACTCGAGAAACATATATGAATAGGTAACACCATACCGACGGGCCCGGAACTTACGGATACTGTCCATAGCGTTCAGGGCAAGCTTGATCGGCATCGGGAGGGCTGGCCGATGGGGTAGCTGCATCAAAGAAGAGGCCTGAAGCTGGTCACCGGACGGAGCAGTTGACACTGAGATAATGTGGCCTGTCTTGGGCCGCATCAAGCTCAAATATTCCATTGCGTTAGCCACGGTATCAAAGAGGAAGTCCACCGTACCGGGCGGGATTGCGTCCTTGGGGTTTACTTTTGTGTAATCGATGACTGGAAATATATGGTCAGTTTGGTTCTAAAGGATGCTTCCGAGCTACTCACTTTCATCGACAGTGTCGTCTCCCAGCAGCTCTTTTACCTTGGGTATCTTCGAAGTCGATACTGTTGTAATCACCTTGCCGGCTTTGAACGCATGCTTAGCCAGCTGGCAGGCAAACATCCCCGTTCCACCCACTAGTTATCACATATCAATCAGTTATCGTTAGTTAATAGAAAGAAGATAGCCCAGAGGACTTGGAGAACATACAGCCAGCGGGGACCAGCACAGTTTTCCCTGCAAGGTCACCGTCGTAGCGTCGCAGTGCCTGCAGTGCTGTCATTGCCGCCAGTGGGATAGACGCAGCATCCGCGAATGATAGAGACGGGGGCTTCAGGGCAACGTCTTTCGCTGGACATATCACGAACTCGCTGCATGAACCTGATTATACAATGCATGAGCAACAGTAAAAAGTAACAGGATAGAGGAGGCCATACCCCGAGAGGCTTCTGGCAGCCGAGTGTATATCTCGTCTCCGGCCTTCAGATGGCTCACGCTGCTGCCGGCTTCTTCTACGGTGCCGGCGCAGTCATAGCCGATCTTGTAGGGAAACCTGGTGAAAATATGGTCAGCATTCAATTATCATTATTCTTGTTACTATACGATTAAGACTCACTTATCCGCCATCGCCATCTTCAACATCCCGTTCGCCTTCTTGACGTCGATGGGGTTGATGCTGGCGGCGTGGACCCTGATGATCACATCGTTGCTGTCCTCGAGCACCGGCTTTGGCAGCTCTGAGAGCTGGTAGCCGGAGGGCGCAGAGTAGCTCGGGGTATTGAGAGAGAGCATCTTCTCCTGGATTAACTAGACAGCTATGCTGAAGCCTGCGAAATGCAATGCCTGTTAGACGACAACATGAGGCATCAACTGCGTCAAATGGTCAGTTATATGACTTCATGGGAGGCAAAAGTCCATCATCGAAAAGCCTGGCAATGGAGGCCGTCGGGGAAACAAACTATCCGCTCCTTTCTACCCATCATCGCCCATGGACCTTTCGGCGCAACAACTGGGCCGTGTCGACGATGATTGCATTTACAGGCAGCGTGGAAAGTCGTCTTCTAACCGTTAGGAAGGCCATGTCGCCGTAGTTTAGGTAGTTATGGAGGTCTAGTATTCTCATCCAAAAAGGCCCATCCTGGACCCGACTTCAGGAGTCGTCTAACACCAAAGGCAAGTCCTTGCAACAATAAAAGACATATAACAGTCGCGCTCCTTTGCATAGGTGATATCGGCTAACTGTTAGTTATAAGTTATACAGGGTGAGACAACGGATCCTATAAATTCCGGCCTTAAGCAGCAGAACGGACCACCGTGGCATCGTCCAAAGCGATACAATTCGATCGACACTGATGGCTACTACACGATAGACCCAGATAAAGACGAGACCGAGGATGGACTCCCACGCTATGTTCTGTTGTACCAAGCAGTCTACGAACTGGGCGGCCTCCAGCTATGACTCGTAGGAGAGCAGGGTGTTGAGTGGGAGCACTGAGACGTTCAGAAATGCAGATACAGATGATGGCTGGATGCATTAACTGCTGGATTCTTCTCGGCTTCTAGATGGTCATGTTCTATCAAGATACAGACAATCCAAGCTCCTGCTCCCCAGCAACTGTTTCTTACGGCGGACGATAATATCATCTACTTGGGAGGGAAAAGCAGTGTTAGGAGGACAATGAGAAGGATTCTGACAAAACCGAAAAAGAGCGTCTGCATCTCGCATTTATGCAGCTGAAACAACCTGAGGTGCTTGTTGTCCATCTCCATATTCAAGTGCAACTCTCTTCTGAATCCAAGCACCGGCAGTCATGTTAGGCTCCCACTGCAAGGTTTGCCACTTTCCAGCTGCCTCGCATCCTGGAATTGGCTCGATCATCACATCGTGTTGAGGAGTTCCATAAAATGACATAAAGAAACGCTCAACCACGGTGTCTTCGTTTGTCTTCTCATCCCCATATTTAAGATGGCTTGGGGCAGAGACATGGTGCAAAGCGCTCTTCCACTTGCCGTTTGACTGCTTCTCCAGCATGTCACCAACATGCACAATCATGGTACCAGGCTTAGGAAGCACGGGTCGGAAGATTCCCGCGTTGTAATCATGGACTTCGAGACCTCCGACCATGTCTTGGAACAGCAGGGTTAACTGTGTGAAGTCGGTGTGTGTGTTCAATCGGTTGCTCTCGCCTGACCTTAATGGCGCTACAGGCTGAGAAAGATAATACAGCCAGCTCATATGGTTTCGGCTGCGGCTGGGGTCCTGCTGCTTGCCAAGGTAGTCCAGGTCGGTGTATTCCAGGATCTCGCAGAGAGCTCGTAGAACCTGGAGCTGCTGCTTGAAACAAGCGTCCCACCACTTTTCGATGAAGGCCCTGAATCCAGGAAAAACGTCCTCGGGGAGCAGACGGTTCACGATTGACTCGCCTGGGTCACCCTTAGAGTGAGGATTGCCCATTTCGAGAATCTCTTTCTGCTCAATAGGTGCGGTCTTCCGCAGCTTCTCGATCTCATCCTTGTCCCAGACATCTTGACTGACAAAGCCGGTTCCGACAGCTGCCCAGCCACGATGATCAGCTGCAACGGTTTGGTGCTTGCAAAGCGCCTTAGTCTCGTCCGGTAAATGGAAGAAGCGCCGGGACTGCGGATCATTAGACAATGCTGATTAGACGATGGTTTAGGACTTTGACCATACCCAAGAAAAAGCTTCATCAACCAGCTTTTGTCCAATGCTGTGGTTGGACAGGTAGATGAAGCCATATGTCTGAAAAGCTTCATCAAGCTGGTTTAAGGCATCTTTACGCTCCTGAGGATTTTCAGAAGTAAGAGCCCTGAAATCAATAACAGGGATGTTGGCGGGCTCGACGTATTCCTTGGTCATCTTGGAGGGGTATCTCGGAGGAGTCTCTTGAGGGACAAGCTGAATTGGATGATATTCTGAGCAATAGCCCAGTGCTGACTCTCGCGGGCTAAAGCTCCCTTATATTCATGAGATACCAATTGCGAATGCAAATGCAAATAACCCATAATACTAGCCGCGCCCTCCAAAGAATTGGAATATGCCACGTCATGAAAGCAAGAGCAATGCTGGGTTGGAAACGCCAGCAACCTACCTTTGATTGATAGACACCTCCCACGCAACATAGGAACTGAGCTAATGTTGCATCAATACATGGAATATGATCAATAAACTTCAGGCTGGCATACATATATGCCATACATCTATGCAGTGCATGGTAACAAACCTTTTTCACCACGCTAGCCGGGGAATTCTGTTCCATAGCCCTGGTTCAATTTCGCCATCACACCAGGGACTCCAACGTGTATGGAATACGGAGTATGAAATATGGTCTTTTTGGCTACTTTTTGACCTTTTGCTTCCATTACCAAGTTTTTGGTATTTTGATATGGGCTGCAGATGGTCAAGTATAGTTAGTGGCCAGGCAGTCTACATATATGCCAAGTCGGATTTGAATGCCCGCCGATCCTAAATGCTCAGCTGGCTATGCGGGGTGCATCCTTGGAATTTATCGTCGTAACAGTATTTCAAGCCACGATATCACGAATTGAACTTACAGAAATACTGCCAAGTACTCCAATAATTGGGACAGATCCATTCGCATGCACCTATGAGCCGTCCTTGACTAATTATGCAATGAAATGCGCCCATTCTTACCACTAACATGCAATTGATATCTGCTGAGTATCCAACTAGCTCACTGGTGCTCAGACGAGAGTAGATTACTTTCAGAAGCTTCCAGTAGAGAACGATTGCCAGGTAGGAGGTTATTCCTCGCTTGCCGGTCAAGCACAGACAGACTCCGTACTTCAACCAGAGTTAACTTCCATAATTTTGAGGCCAGTCTTCAAAATTGCGCCGCAGTTTACCTGAAATACCCAATTTGAATATTGACCCAGAAGCCAGCTGTTGGTCTGCGTGATCTTCGATATGCGCATCTCGATCATTCAGCCGGTATAGACACCAGTCGATCTGTCGAGCGAGGAGCTCGAAGGATTGTGCAAAAACGGTATCACCTGCTCTGTCGTCAATTTGAACACTGGCCCAATCTCCGTCGAATCTCGAACCGACAAAGCATTAGCAATCCCCGGCCTGATCGCGGCAGCCCAACGAGAAGCACAAAAGGGAGCTGATGCCATAGTCATCGATTGTTTCGGTGACCCTGGCTTAGATACCCTGCGAGAAGTCGTCGATATCCCAGTCCTGGGTGTGGCGCAGATCTCAATGAATATATGTGCCAGTCTAGCGGATACGTTTGGGGTTGTGACCATCTTGAAAGAGTCCATTCCTATAATCAAAGACTCGGTTAAAGCATACGGCCACGAAGGCAGATTTGTCGGCTGCAATGCCATTGATATGCGATCGCTTGAGATCAAGGGCGAAGTCAATGAAATGACGAACAGATTAGCTGAGCATGCCCTCGCTCTGGTGAGAGAGAAGGGTGCACATTCTATTATCCTAGGCTGCACTGGTTTTATAGGCTGCGCTGAAGAAATCAAAAAGCGGCTTGAGCTTTCAGGACTCGATGTCCCGGTTGTTGATCCCATGCCTGCGACTGTCTTTTCGGCCATACCTCTTCTCCGGTTAGGCTTGAGGCAGAGCAGGGAAAGCTATCCGAGGAGTACGATTAAGGAGACAAAGGGTTATATAGAATTTTGAGGATCATCCAAAAGTGTGAATTCATACAGAAATCACACTCAATCTAAGATGTATCTTGCTCAACGGCTAGGAAGGCTCGATATAATAATGCCATGTCTATCATACAAGGACATTTCAATGTTATTGAAGAACATACTCAATCTCTGCCCGCAAAAGATCGAGGCAAATTCAACACTATTCATACAACTACATGATAGAGGGCTGCGGTGGGCAACAGTCAGGCAAGCAAAGCCAAAACCCCAGCTTAAGCACAGCCCTCCGTCTTCCTCTCTCTGATAAGCATGTAAGGCAGCGACATCAGCACGGAGCACACCCCAAGGGTGATCATCAACGCATGCCACCCAGCGTGAACGCGGATAATGCCCGTTGCGACCGGACCCAGCAGCTGGCCTGCTGCAAGTGCCATATTGAAGAGTGCGTACGCCTGCGCAATGGGGAGCGTAGCACCGAACGTCCCAGGGAACTCTGCCTCATGTTCTTCAATCGCATATATCACTTGAGTCATTGCGATCATCTCGGCTGTGGCAATGCAGGCACCTAGAACAAACAAAATGCCGGCCAAGAGCACTTTATCACTCGTGGTATCATGTTGAACAAGTTGCATTATGAAGCATGAAACCCCGGCGAGCATGAATGCAGCTGCTGCAATGATCCGATATCCAATCTTGCTAGCTAATGCTGCAATGTAGATGGTAGAGAAGCTAGCGATGGCAGGCACCATGAAAATCAAGCCAGCACCACCAGATGACCAGTGAAATCTCTCCATAACGAATAGGGGAAGGGTCTAAGACGCAGCCCACGAGGTAAGTAAGTAAAATCAACTATGCTATGTGGTATTCAGAGTGCATTGCGGTTCACTCACAGTATCCAGGGATGAAACGACCAGCGAAATCATCACGATTGATACCAACGCCAGCGGCAAGCGTGGAGAGCACAATAAACTAAAAACAGTGGCCGACGCCCTGATCTCAGTCTGCTGCACGTTGTCGGCCTTTTGCTTCGAAGATGCTAACAAGGGGGCTTCCTCATCGCCGCGCTTTACGGTCGAGATACTGCGAGTAGAGCTTTCTCCGCGTGCTGTGAATGTGCTGTAGCTCTCGTTACTGAACTCCGAGGCAGGCGAGGCGAAGCTACATTTCGAGATAGGAGAGTCATCGTTGACTTGCGTAGATTCTGTTGGGACAGTAAGCGACAATAGTTACACAGCTAGGGAGAGCATATGAGCTCTTGGACTCACTCTTCCGCTCGATCATCGCAAACCGCATGGCTATATCCACAGCCAGCAAGCCCATGGGGACGACAAACGCCCCATAGAAGCCTACTTTCTCATACATCACTCCGCCAACAGCGGGACCCAGCAACGATCCCCAGGCCAGCGCAACAGTCGTATAACTCATAGCCTCTCCGACCCGCTCGGTTGGCACATTATCCGCGATTATAGACAGCCCGACGATCCATACCGCGGCAGCAGATAGCCCTTGAAGCGCGCGGGCGATAACGAGGACGGGGAGGGATCGAGCCAGCGCAAAGAGACCCGTGGAGGCAGAAAGGGACGCCAGTCCTACCACGAAGGGCATCCGTCGGAGTTTGCAATGATCTGCGAAGTATCCGAAGAATGCTATACATAATACAAGGAAGAAGATAGTTCCCGAGCTTTCAGCTTGGTGTCATTCATGAAAAGCCATGCGATGATGCAAACAAATCACTTACGAGATCCAACAAGTATCGAGCCGCCGTAGACGGAGAGAAGAATCGAGACCCATAGTTGAACTGGGTGGACGAGATTCTTAGCCGGTCAAACGCAGAAGAACCACGAACCAAGGGTCATACATGGGTAACTATACTTACCATCTTGCTGACCGACGCCAATGCGATCTACCAGGGCGAGAGGCATGATAGGAACGATCTAGGAAACGGGGTGGTGAGTATACAGCATCGTTCAAGAGCTGTTACTCTCTCCCTCTTCTCCCACGAAGCATCTAACCATCAGATATATAAACAGATCCTAAAAGAGGTTAACCAAATTGCTGGCAAAAAGCTCCCCAGGCCGGCTGGCGGCGCACTCACAGTGAAAATGGCAATCGAGACAGTCGTCACGACAAACGACTCTGAAGACCGAAACCCCTGAAGCCAGGCCATATTGACGAATGGACGACCACCCTGGCGGCCTGGAGTAAAAGAAGGCGTGGGGACACACAGTTGAAAGACAAAAGCTATTCGATTCCCCTCAAGACTTGAAGATATTATGGGCTCAATAAAACCTCATTATGAACCGCGATGATGAGCTCCCTGACCGCACCTTGCATCGCGGCCCCCGGGAGTTGAGTCACTCCTGGAAGCTAGAAACTTTGGCTCTGCATAAGTAGTTGTGGCTCTCAGAGCTCAATAACTGGTTAAACTATGTTTTGCTTTTTGTTTCTGGCCGTCCTTGTCGATCCTGATTCTTCGGCAGCTGGTAACGAAGACGTGGAAGATCAGCGGCCCAATTATACCTATACCAGGCTATACGGATTATCATTAACACAAGTTCATTAATCGTGACTGCTAAGTAGGTTTATTCAAGCTTTCTAAACATATGAAAGTCATAATGATAAAATCTCTATACAATAGAGTAGCAAGAGGCGGAGTTCACATAACTATTCCACAAGTATGGAGTAGATATTGAGCAAAAAAAAGAAAAGGGGTATCGCGGGCGGAATTAAAGCATTGGTGGCGAACTTCACCATACAGATAAATACGGACACTCAACTACTTAAGCGCAAAATATACCCGTGATATGCTTTTGTGGCTGGCTGAGTCCAGGACAGCTTGCTCTGCACAACTACCATGCATGCTGCATCTCAAATTCACCATTGGACCCTTCTAAAGTTTTAGTTATGCTAGAACGAGATATCAAGTACAGAGTATCGAGCATATACTCCGTACTTGCCGGAATTTGCAGATTACATACTGCATTCCAAGTTGAAATATTCAATACGGCTAACAGCTTCTCAATTGGCCGCCCACGGCTCTTTCATATTCCCTGCATCTAAGTGGCTTTTGTAGTAGGTCCTTTTCAGCACGGGATACTTGGAGAAAGCATATGCGGCCAAAACGCAGGCTCAGAAGTGTCATTCGAGCATCCTCCACTCATTCAATTTTGGATTAGAGGTTATTCCTCAACCAATATTACTACTACAGTATTATTCAGCTCATCAATTGGTACATAATGTCCGAATGCACGCGAATTGATAAAGGCAATTAAACATCCCCGGGAAACCGCCGGAATTGTGGCAAGTCAGGTACTTCATACTCCAGCCTACGCTTCTCTCCACAGATATGGCTATACCAACCGATATCGCCAACCTGGTGATAGGAGAGGATGCTAAGCTTTCGATTCAGTTCGATGAGATTCCTCTCTACAACGATGGGACTCGCAATGGCTCCAGGTTTTATATGCTTTCCACAAATCGTGCACTGAAAGACCACGAAGAAAAGGAAGACGACATGAGATACCTATCCAAGACCAGACAAAGTGCCATCAGGCTAAGCCAGCTACTTAATGGGCCCCATGTCGTAAAAGAAAGAGAAACCACAGCCCAAGATGAGGGGAAGGCTGTAATGCGGCTTGGGGACACCACTATGGTTGTCGACGAAACATTTGATACGCAACCTATACACAGCCACATCTGGAACTCGTTCATGTCAATTGAATTTCACTTCCCGAATGCAGATTTCACATCTCTGCAGTATCTACAAACTTCTTGGAAGGGTCTTAAATCCGGTGATACCCTTTTCACCAAGGAGGGAACACCAACTTTTGAAGAAGTATCCATCGTTTCTGGGGTTTGTCTCTACAATGCAAGACTTTTGGAAATGAGTGCAACGAGTCCGAAAACCGGCGGCATTGATACTGATCTACTCATGAATTCAATTCCTACATACAATGAGTTGGACTATATTGCTCGCGCGTCAAGCGCCATTGCTGACATTGCTGCCATCAATATCTTAAGGGCTTGCGAGCAGAGGTCTGGACAGCGGCTTAAAATAAAACCTGATATCCCTAGCTGGCACTACTACCATACAGTGGCCACAAAATTTTCGTCAAAGAAATGTACAAGCACTGAAGCATTGCAATGGATGGACACAGTTGACCAACGACATGATAAGATCGGTCAAACCTTCGTGGAAGCCATCAGAGATGGGCTTGAGCAACGAGGAATTCGTGACAGCACCGGCTATGATATTGGCATTACTTCAAGGACGAATCTACCTGCTATTCTAATTCGAACAGCTATTGAACATGAAGAAATCCCTTCATTGGATTCCATCCTCGCTGCATTGGACTCTGAAGAAGACGGGTGTTGGAAACGATTCTACGAGATGATCCCGATCAAGGAACGGCCCTCAAATCTTGACCAGCTGGGTTATCTGTTCTATGTATACGAGGCAATCAGGCCGTCTCTCGTTGAACGTCCAACACCAGTCCCTCCGGCATCTGAAAAGACCAAGAAAGCCAACCTGTCCAAGAAGGCATTAAAGAGGCGAAAACCTCGCCGTCTAATCATCAGCGTTGACGACTCTGCGGAACGCCGCATTTACTCCAGAGCTCAAAGGGTACTCAGCCAGATTCGACAGTCTAACGAAAAGCCTGAGACTTACTTGGTAGAGTCGTACGTTTGCAGGAGGTTCTTGATCAACGGAAACGAAGGCAGAGCGCGACTAGGTCGGCTAGATCCTCTTCCCGATATTCCAGTTCGCACCGGTTCTCACCATGAGACTATGCTACCTCTCGATGTGGTGCGCCAGCTGTATGGAGAGAACTCGGCTCTCAATTTGCGACGGTGGCTTCAAAATGTGGGACTTTCAATTTAGATTTAGAAATTAAACCAAAGATACATTTCGTCCGCCAGGTATTCTATTGGTGTCCATAACACCTGAGCGTACTGATCCCATGTTCAAGCCATGGATGTGTAAGACCATTAGTTAGGGGTCTATCCAATAGTTAATGTTATTTTTCTGCATTGAAGAGAAAGTTGCAAAAACCACCTGATACATACACGTATGTACATAACGAAGGAGTAAAGACATGGTTATGGCCAGTCAACATCAAAATAAATATATAAGTATGTAGCGGGGATACGGCGGGGGGATCGGCAATCCCTCCATTTTTGAGATTGTTGATGCATTACGGCCGGTAGCTAGGTCTCCCCTGTCCCAATGGATGCTGGCTGTACTACATACATACACTCGTTATCGTTCTTCACAGGTTTCCCATGCACACATTCCTATCTATATCAGAAATCAAATGTCAGCCAGACCTGGCACGTACGCGTTGCTTTCGATTCTTTCGTATTTAAAGTGATTCCGCTCGCTGGTTGTTCAGCCTTTATTTTACAGCAATAGGGCACACCACCTTTCAAGTCATTTTCTAGCTATCTAGTTAACTAGTTATCACTGCGGAAAAGTTAACATGGTCGGAATCGATATTGTGGAGCCCGCAGAAATTCCTGTGGTCGACTTCCAAGCTCTCTCAGCTGGCACTCTACAAGAGCGTAAGACTGCGCTCAAACAGCTAGATGATGCATTCCAATCGGTTGGACTTATACATCTTTCCAACCATAGCATTGGGCAGGATCTCGTAGACGAGGCATTTGCATGGGTACTCTGCTCTATCTTGATACATATACATCGCCCTCATCTTCTTTTACTGACCTAAAACAGTCTAAACGCTTCTTTGATCTCCCGGATGACGTGAAGAAGCTAGTTTGTCACCCTCACGACGCGTCTGACCACCGTGGCTGGGTAGCTGCTGGCACTACCGTCTCAAGTCAAGGTGTTTGGGATCAAGAGGTTATCGAGCGCATGCATAAAACCGGCCCAGTGGAAAAGAGGGAGAGCCTCGAGACAGGAGACCCCTACCCGAGCAGGATTCCAAACCCTAACTTCATACCAAATCGGATACTGCCTGAAGAAATCTTTCCTGGCTTTGAGGCATTCACTAAGAAGTGGTGGGATGCATGTGTAGAGCAAGAGCTTCAGCTTCTCCGGTGTTTATGTGAAATTCTTGATATCCCAGACAAAGATTTTCTTGGGAAACAGCAAAACCCGGACTTTAATCGCAGTGCGACTGGTTGGAATCATTATCTATCTATACCCTTTCAATCCCTGGCAAGTGGACAATCCATTCGTCTCAATGCCCATACGGACTATGGACAATTGACTTTACTGTTCCAAGATACGACTGGCGGACTCGAAGTTGAGGATAACGAAGCCGGCATTTTCAGGCCTGTGCTCCCTAGACCCGGTATGGTTATTGTCCAGATTGCCGATATGCTTGAGAGACAGTCAAATGGGAGATGGAAAAGCTCCTTGCATCGGGTTACTACCCCTCATCACCTAAAGCACAGTGATGTAGGCGATAGTCTGTTGATTGAGCGATTTTCGATTGGTTTCTTTATTCAGCCTGATTTCGATCTGGTTATAAAACCTCTTCCGGGTTGTGAAGCCAAAGGGAGATGGTCATCACTGGAGTGGGAAGATGAAATCACTGCTGGTGAATGGCTGACTAGGAGAGTCGCTCTGGAATATCGACCCA